GTGTCGAATCGTACGGTGTCGAATAATTTGGTGTCGAATAAATCTGTGTCGAATCGAGCGGTGTCGAATCGTACTGTGGTCAATAGAGTGTCACCCCTGTAATCCGTACTATTAAACGTTTCGAGGACAAAGGTAGCGTTAAAGCCGCTCAAGATCTGGTAGACGTAGATAGATAACAAGGAGCGGGGGGCTTGTGAGATCCTATTGTCACTTAGATCTATAAGATCCTCTGCGACTCCCGCTAGGTGTTTATCGACCAAGCTGCTAAAACCCGGCATTTGCTGCCACGCTACACAGATGGCCGATTTTAATTATTTTCAAGTCCTCGGACTCCACAAACATGGAGGCCAAGGATCTGAATCTCTTGAGTGCTAGAGACGGGCAGCGACACAATATGTGCACACTGTCCTCTCTTTTTTCGCCGCAGAATCTACAACTACTCTCCTCAACTAGGCCTAAGGTAAATAGATGTGCCTTAAAGGCCCAATGCCCTGTGAGGAGACCGATACACAGTCTTTGTCTGTACTTACTCATTGTCAGTAGTTTCTTTGTCCTACCTGGCAATGGTTGAGTCATTAGGACCTTAGCTTGGCGGCAGCTCTTCAGTATCTTTCAAGAGATCCTGTGTTTTTTTTCAGCCAGTCGTTGATATGGTTTTTCCCTGTAGCAAAGGGAACTCTAACTATCTGGCAGACTGGTTCCTCTAAAGTACTCAGTTTTGCCAGACTATAAGCCACTTCATTGCCTTGGATACCTTGGTGGCCAGATACCCAGACAAGCGTGATGTTGTTTCGCTCGCCCAATCTGTTTAAAGCTTGCATACTGTCCCAAACCACTGAAGATTCAGTGTTAAGAGCTCCTATGCTATCCGTATAGATATTGATCCTCCTAGTTTTTGTCTCTCTTGAGAGTAGGAAACTTGCACATTCCAGACTGGCCAGGACTTCCGCTTGAAAGACCGTGGCCACTTTACCCAGAAAGAAAAACACTCTGTGATTTGATCCTGGACAGTAGATGCCTGCTCCATAGCAGCCGTTTGCTCCAGATCCATCAGTGAACCATGCATGAATGCCCGGCTAGATCTGAAGATTTCTGTTTTTCCAGTCTGCCTTGGTGGTCACGTTTATGAAAACGCCTTGTCCACTTGGCGTGTTTTGGATATTCTGTCTTGCTTTAAGGTAAAGGGAGGTTTATGAAGAAATCCGAGCTTGGTATGATCTACTCCGAAATCTCTCTATTCCTTCTGACACCTTAGTCTGTATGCTGTGAGTGTGGCAGCGCTGATGAATCAATCTTAGAGGTGGAATGCAGAGCGCTACTTCCAGCGTTTCTGTTGGTGTCGTTCTCATAGTCCCTGCCGCAGCCCTCAAGTAACTACCTTGTAGGCTTTCTAGTATATAAAATATCGTTTTACGATGTTGTTGCGCCAATTATACTGTGTGGACTAGAGCCGATCAATCAAACTTTCGCATTGTAATTGTTTGGTCGAGATCTAAGCAAAGAGGGAAAGGACACAAATCATAAAATATCTTGAAACTTTCCACCCCAAACAGGCGACTATCGCAGGGGGGTGGCGAGTATCTTCCGCTTTAACGCGCCGCGGAAAACTCCCACGCAGACTCGTCTCCCAGCAAAGACTTACTTTGTTAACCCTTATCAGCGTTATTAGCTGGCTCAATAAGCAAGCGGATTGCATCANACGCGATATTTATCCCGGCACGATAATAAGTCGATAAACAAAAATCTTCGCTGCGAGGATTGAAATACTTTNGTGCGGATTCCGGTTTCTTCAGTGCACTCCGGTCGNCACGACCGGATCGTATAATTGCGTTTGTTCCCTGCCAAAGTTCTTTTTTTTCTCGAAAAGTCTCCGTTCTCTCGCGTACACTTGTNAGTACTTCGAGTAAGAACTAATGTAGCGACACAGAAAACTGACGCATTATTATTTTTATACAAGAATTCTGTACGTTTCAACTGTCATTGTGTCTTTGATCACGTCTTTCCAAAAATCNGTCCGATTTNANTTTATCTCTCGCGATATNACGATTTTTTTGACTCTATCCACGAGATCAAGGTAATCGTTACCGGANGATCGCGAAAAGAGNTTTGCGAACTTCACGTGACAGTCATGATTCGTCGAATGACTCGCCGCGAACTCGACTTTTTAGTGTGGCGCGATGATAANACGCCGTTATCGGTTTAAAAACGAGGAGAAAACCTAGTTGGTAGACAGGCAGTCGCCGCGCGGCGACTGTTGATACGACGGCGGAGCGGTCGTAAGTTCGATTTGCAATTCTCGATCAGTTCGCGAATCGTCGCGGTTGTACTTCAACATGTTGGCGAAACATCTTCTCTTCATTGCGACCAGACGACCACGTAAGTAAACANTTAGAACAATTCACGTTGTCGCGTTTGTCTTGTAAATCGATAAAANACATGTAAAAAATGTTTAATTTTCTAAATTTTTGTAATTTACAAGTATTTATATAGTTTTATAAATTTATAAGTATTTTTCTCATATGTACAATTATCTAAAAATGCAACTTTTATAATTATCGTACAATTTTTTAATATAACAGCATCGTGTAGTTGTGTTTACAATAGATTCCTAATTTCTGTAAATATTTATTCCCTTTTTAATTTATATTATACTAAATATTTTATTTTGTAATATGCCCAATAAATAAATTTATAATTGTATTCAAAACATGTGAATTATTAATAGTGTTCTCGAAATAATCAATTTTTGTTTATTTATTTTTAAGAACAACAGAACGAAAATTGCCATATGATACATTGACTTGCCACGTTGAAATATTAGAAAAAGATCCGAGTTTATTTTATGAGTTCTAATGTCTTGATATGTCACCTTATCGTATCTTATCATCCGTTATTTATTATTATCAGTCAATTGAATTGTACCGCACATATATAATTATCTTCTGTCAAGTTTTTTTTTACTTGGGTGACCCGAACTTCTCTCCTTGGCGATGGATTGATTAATTGATTAAAAAACAGAAAGAAATATGACCTTGTGTACATGCCTTACACCTGATTAATTTCTTGGCTTGATATTAAAGCTAAAACATTTTGTAACAACCCATGCGAGAAAAGTTTATGTTTACGTGAATCTCGATAAGTTTATTTGTCTTTTACGTTACTTAAAAATTTTTTAAAGCAGTACGCATCTTTATCGATACAGATTTTAGAATATACATGAAAATTTTAAGTACCATTTTTTTTTCTTGCTTATGTTTGCATTATAAATTATATGTACATACGTATACATGTTTATATAATTAATACATACGTGATAATAAGATTTAAAAAATAATATTTTCCGTAAATAATAATGTATTCTAAAATTCTCTGTAAAACATTAAAATTGTATAATTGATGTATACATCATTTCTTTGTTAACAAAATGATTGTTTAAACGTCTACCCCTCCATTAAATATCTCAAAGTGAGCAAATAAAGAGAAGCGCTAATTGTCTGTCAAGACTACATTCGTGTATCAGTGACATTACCGGGGGGGGGGGGGCGAAGCATTAAAGTGTCAAGAGATCGCGTGAGTAACCGTTCGCTTATCGGTATTGCAAAACTAGCGATTGTGTAAAGAAGCCTCTAAAAAGAAAGAGAGAGACGATGAAATGCCTCCACAATGGAAAGAACCACGGATCGAAAATACGCAGAGAAACGTGAGGTTAAAAGAAAAACAAAAAAGAGTGAGAAAGAGTCGATCCTCTGTTTATTAGCAGAATCTCTGTCGCAGCTCCGGGTTAAAAAAATCGGAATAATCACAAATTTTGCAACCGCGTTGTTGAGAACAAACTTTCCATTAGTCCGTCCGATTTCCTAAAGTATATTTACATTTATATTGTCAATAACAATATTAGCGTTTGCACAATACCAACACGAATGGGACGAAGTGATAAGCGGTGCTGCGACCTGTGACGCTTTGATATCTGCGAGAAAAAAAGATTTTAAATAGAGAGAGAGAGAGAAAAAAAGCAACACGTGAATTGCGCAAAATCGCGGTCGGACTTCGATAACAGTGGGCCTAATCGCGGATAATGCATGCAATTTTTATAAACAATGTTATATCAATGTGATATTTTAGCGTCTAATTTGAGAGAGACACGTGTAGATAATTTTGATTGAAAATCCGTCCAATTTAGATTTATGAAATATAATTATATACGTTCGATACGACAGTAAATAAAGAATCGTTGCGAAATCGGCTACATAATGGTTTGTAATCGATGGTTCTCTTCGTTTTATTATTTATTCGAAGAACAAATGTATCATGTATACATATCGATATGCACAAAGTATAATTTCGAATATAGTAATTTCTGTAATTAATTATTTTTATACATAAATACAAAAAGTTTAGCGTTTATTTATATATATACATATATATATATATATATATATATATATATCTTTCGTAAAACCATACGCATGGCCAGTAGAAGAATACTTTGTTGCATCGCTATAGTTTCACAGGAAACTTTGATGCATCGTCAGCGTAATTTCACGAGTCTGTTTCCTGCCGTGCAACACGAGCATTGCATAACGCAATAATCCGCGAAAAGAGAAACAAGACAGAAAATTCATCNGAAATTATTAAAAAAAACGCCATCTTATTTACGACGAATTTATTGCGTACGTCGCAAATTGTTCTTTGTGTCGCATTTGTATGAGCGATAAATTGAGGAGAAACGCAGAAAGTATTGANTTTAATGACGTACGAAACTAAAACCAGAGCGATTTCTCACTCATACGTTGATAGCAGTAAGAAAAAAATATTGTATCTTTATGCGTTTTACAAATGCGTAATCGCGCGGTCGCGATCTTTTCGATTTCCTCGTGTAGTTTATTATTTGCGCGATCGACGAAAGCACAAAGTTGAAAGTTATCGACTTCTCCATGTTTGTTTGTCAATAATGCAACATAACGAGATCGATCGTAAATTGTAATTAACATATCGCTGATTATTTAATTTATTAATTGAATATCTCTGTAAAATCCGAAGACATTTTTGTCAAAATCATATCGAGTAATTTGTGTTACATATTTTTATGACATCTTATGTTCTCGAATTGTAAAAAACTATAAAGATGTCGATTTTAATGTTACGTCGCAATTACGTCCAATTGGTCGGAGGAATGTCAAGATGTATCTTTACATCCTGTCGTCGACCGATAATCATTTAAAACAATCTACAAACTAAGCGGCTGTCATCATCTGTACACGACGAGACAATGGCAGTTTGATGTTCCGGCATGCTTGAAACTCTCGTAAATGTGTCCTTAACTTGCCGTGTCGCATGTTAGCTCATGACGCGCGTGCTCGCCTCTCGTTGTAAGTAACGTCTGTATATCACTAACTAACAAGAACTAACTGTGGGTACACACAGAGAACCCCGTAGCTGCACAAACAGGCTGGGTCTCAATCAAGNGTGATACCGCGTANACTCCATAAGTTTGGACTTTTATACTTTTAATTGTTATATTTTTTGTCAAATTCAANTCGAGAACAGTCGGGTTCTTTTGGGACATGAAATAGTCGCACGGNGTATATATTGCCTCAATTTGAAAATTATTGTTTTATTAACAACATATTGCATATTAAAGATCGCTGTTTGTTTTATGTTTAAGTCGTTTAGAAGTCACACAAATTATACAAAANAAAANAAAAANAAATTCCGACGCAGAAACAGCGTAACGAACGTAATCATCGTAGAGAATTTCGCGAGAAATCGTTAACTCGTCTNTTNGAGAGGATTACTTTCTCCTTGCGNATGATTTAATGCCGTTCTTGTAGCGAGCACTATACCGCACCTGTAATCTATACGATAGTTACCACGCCAACCTCGCGCTAACACTTAGTTAGCGCGATAACATCGTAAGCCGCTGCTTACGGTTAAACGCGGACAAATAATAACCGGTTATAATAAAATACACACCCAGCGGTTACGTATGAAATGTATGTGTTAATTAAAATCGCGAGCGCGCAAAATCCACAACCGTTTCTCATCGCGCGGTATCACCCCCTTCGAAGGAAGCCAAGTGTTAATTAATCAGCTTGCACAACTAATATCACAAAGACGTACTTACAACTTAGGGCAGGGGAGCATGCACTATTAGCGTGTTTACTGTAAATGTACATATGTGTTTGTAGCGTTTAAGATCTGTACACGCCGCGCTTAATATAAATAATGTGTATGTGTAATAATCCTTTCTTGTGTACACCCAAGGTGTGTAATATATACATATATGTATGTATATACATATATATATATTATATATGCTGACGAGAAACGATGTTNAAACACATTAACGTGGAATGTATGTGAATAGACGTTATTCTTTTTTTGAAAAGTACTTGCATTTTGTCGATTTTTTTATCTTTTTCTCTATCATCCACGTGTCATTATCATTATCATCATTATCATCATCATTATCATCATTATCATCACTGCACTACTGAGATTGTACATATATGTTGCACATCGTCCGCAAGAGTTCCTCAACCCTCCCAAAACCTTTTTGTTGTCTATTGTTTGTTTTTCCCGTTGGTTTGTTTTTTATGTATCTTCATATATGTGGCCTACACTGTATAGTTTTAGAAAAAAAATGCACCTCACGCGCGTGTGGCACCTCTCACTAGTAACTCACCCACATATCATAGTTCCATGCTCCATGTACCTGGTGAGTATGTTGTTTTTTTTTTTTTTTAACTTTGAAGATATATTGCGCGCGAGCTTGATGTCGATTTTAATTATTAATTAAAATGTGTTTTACCTTATCCAATTTTTATATGTGTGATTTGTGTTTTTCAATATGTATATTTTGATAGTTTTTTTTATTTTTTAGACGTTTACGTTTTTCTTTTTCCATCTAATTCTAAAAGTCGACATCAAAACAGTGCACGATTTTAATAAGCTGCTTGCGTTTGTTCACCGCATGCTTTGTGTTTACGACATGCTTTTGGTTGCTTTGCTTCGATTAATCATTCACATTTTTCAATAACAATGTAAATGTAAATATTCGTGTAAATTATCTCAAATACATGTATCTTTTTTATCAAAGTTTCCAAAATTGTTCTGTTAATGTTATTAACATTTATACAAATCTAATAAACATAAAAACCACTTATATACGAATTACAATTGCTTTTTCCTGCGTAATTTCTAATTACAATATTTCTTCTAATAATTACAATTATAAAAAATAATTGTTTATAATAAAATATATATATATATAACAATATATATATCGACTATAACATATATAACATATATAATATATATAATGTATGTAGATGTGATATTTTTTCTAACAAGTTTCCAATAAAAACATTCTTATCTTCCCCTCGTAATATAAGTTCAAAAGATTAAACGCCGGTAATATTCCAAAACTATCTTATCAAATTGCCTAAAACTAGAATGATTATATACACATATTGATTTTAAGAGAAAATAATTCCGCCAATTATGTAATAACTCTATCACATCTTCTCCACCTTGTTACAGAAAATACTTTATTGGCCATACCGTCGGAATCGATACAATCGCAAGCGATAGTCCAACCGCCACCCTATGTCGCGCCTCCGAAACCGGAAGATCGACAAAAGTCGCAGAAATATCANGAGATACTGAAGGATTCGCAACNGCCAAGCTTGCGGGCGTATTCTGAGAAAGAGAAGCAACAAGTGATCGCGCCGAATCAAAAGCAGGATGTTTACNATCCGCGTCGGAACGTTCAGCAATGTGACAACCGCAGAAATTTTCTCGACCAGCAACAAATATCGAATTANGAGTACCAGCAACGAGCTCGCAGCAACTATCAGACCGTGCACATGTACAATGCGAGAAACCAACAGTTCTGTTTNCCAGCCGGGGATGCTGTTAATCAGCAGCAGTTCTACACCCTGCCGACGAGAAGANCTCAACGAGAGACCGAACNACCTCGCAGTGTCACCCCGGACATAACAAGAGGTCTGGCACGCGGTTCCCTCAGNAGTATGCACATACTGGCGAAACAAGGTCAACAGAGAGTCACGATTGCGGAGAACGATCATCAGACTCGATGCGATTCGCAAGTAGACGCGAGNAAGAAGCGCGTGGAGTGCACAGAGGCGCAAGGATCCGTTCAGAGTCAGCCTCAGTCAGTCGTGGATGTCAGAAATAGGTGAGAAGAAACTGCAGAATATATTTTGGAAGATATTTATGACTTTATGAAATTTTTATAAGGTGTTACTCTCGCAGATTTTCGCTGTTTACGTTACTTTAAACGTTTCACACGTACTGTTCACAGGTTCGCAACGCTGCCTCTAAACCTGGCTGCACTCGGTTATCGATTCTTCGCGTCCTCACTTGAGAGTGACACTCTTACGAAGTCTCCCAACGCGGACATTTTGCAAAACAATCCAATTTCGCCGATCGGCTGCGGCGGTTATGGTAACGGCTTCAGATCGTCCACTCCTACTAATCAACATCACGGACGATCAACGCCAAGCGTGGCGGAACGTTTAGCTATCAACGCCAGTAATTGTTCGTCGCCAACGCCGGCGACGAACAGCTCCTCAGGTAGAAGCACGCCTATTCAGACTTCTTCCGGCAGGACCACGCCGACCAATCTGATCCTGTCACCCACGAAGAGCACCATGTCCAACGAAGAACTGTTCACTGCGATCCACAAGTCGAAGAAGAGACTCAACATGAAATTCAACGACGACAACGAGAACCTGTCGCCTTACGGATCAATGAATTCTCTGAAAGCAATGGCTGGTAGCAGATATAGCTGGAGCCCGGAGTCACAGAAAACTTTAGATGTAATTTCTCATCGACATCTTCTTTTTCTAATATTGTTTTTTCAAAAATAAATTAAAAACCACGAACTGTTCTAAGCATTTTGCAATTCTTTAGCTTTCAATTCCTCTATTTGGATTCAATTCAATTCTTTGAAAGCTGCGTTTTTTTACTTCATCTTTCGATTATTTTGTTTTTTTTTTGTTATATTTGTTCTATAGGTACCCACCACTGTGCAGTCGCCTACGTCACGAATGGATTTCAAACGTTTGCTCCTTCAACAGAGCATCAAGGCGAGTCCGATACGACTGTCAGCGGCGGAGCAACTAAAGCTGTCCCGTCAGCAGCAACAACAGCAGCAACAACAATCCTCGCCGAGCGCTCATCATCAAAGTCCTCTGACTAAAATTCTGAGTCCCCGCTCTGTTTGGAGGTTCCAAACTCCGAGAACCGACGTTCTCTCGTCCACCATAATCGAGGACACCGCGGCAGAAGAGAAAGCCATGAAACCGTCACCGGAAAACACATCCCCTATCTCAAGATTGAACTCCAGAAGACAGCTCGATCTAGACAGCAATCATCGGCATTTGGCCAATAAAGAAGTCAAAGCCAACAACGATAGATCAGTAGTTGACAAGACGTCCGCGAATAAATCCAGTTTCAATTCCACGATCATATCACTCGATGAGAACAACAAAACTCGCAAACTAATCACAAGTACACCTAACAATTCTGTGCGAACTACATCTCCCGCGAAAACTACAATAATTGATCAAGATGTTTTAGTTTCTAAAAACGACATCAAGAACGCAACACAGTATTCGAAGAGTTCGATCGAGTACAAGAAACAAGATCCCTTGAGCGCCCTCGAGTCGAGAAGAATCAGCAACCAATTGGCGAGAGCTCAGTTTCTGGCCAATACACCCACAAGCACCAATCCTTCGCAGAATCTTTACTTCACCAAGAGATTCAGAGCTCGATCGGAATCTCCGCAGCACGTTGCGACCCAGAACGTCGTCGCGCCGCGTAGCCCAAGCGCGCCTACTCTCGAAACTGCTCTGTGATCTGGGAATGTTGCGATGCAGAATCGGGGACGCGCGCGTGACAACTGTCTCTCTCTCTCTCTGAATATCCAATCTCTTTAAGAAAATTGACGTGATATATTTATATTATTATACCAAACAATTTTCAAATCGAGTGTGTTGTAATCGCTAATATCTCTCACACACATCTGCTAAGAGACAATAATTTATCTAATCGTGATATTTTCGCGCGCGCGATAATAATTGCGGAAATTTAGTATTACTCAGTATTGCGAGATCTTTTTTGCATAAAGTAGAAAAAAAAAACGCAAATCTTACAGAGTCGATTTTGAACATATAATGGACTTTTTTACTAGCACATTTGGTTTTTACGTCACATTCAAATTACTCTCCGCACACAAACATATATATACATAAAATAAAAAGTGTTTACTACTATATATATAATACGAGCAAAATAACAAGCAATAAATAGGATATCATCGACGCCAATAAATCTCAATCGCGTGCCTACTTTATACAGACTTTGTACATGATACTTTTTATAAAAAAAAAAAAAAAAAAAAATCAACAACATTTACACAAGAAAAGAAATGTAAAAATAGTATAAGTGAATTCAGTAATATATATCTCAAACTGTGAGAATACTGAGATATATATTACAGATAATATCAATATATATTGATACATGTCTGGCATTTCCTCTTTTTTTTACACTAAGCAAACTTTTTTCTATTTTTTCAACGAAGAAGACCTTGACTTTTGCACGATCTCAACGTTCACGATTCAAGAGACTTTTGAACGCAGAAGAAAGACGAGATATTTGCGTGTGTGTATGTGTGCGCGTGTGCTTTTTTTCAATCTCACATATATTCTCGAAAATAAGAATTGAGTGTAATTTTATTCCCGCGAAAGAATGAGGAACAAGCTTTCGTTCGCGAAATTTTGTCCGTTATGCGATACAAAGGAAACATGACGAAACTTTGTCGTATAGTTCCGTAATAAGAATCTTATCCCTCATTCGAGAGAATGGACATATTACACGTTAGTTTAACAACTTGGGCTATATTATTTATTTGCGGGAGTTTAAGAGAATGGCCGGGAGCCGCGCAACACTTAAAAGAACCATAAATCGCTCGTCAAAAGGAGATAGATAAGAAATTGTTATCAAAAACAAATATTGCACTCGGAAAAGAGAGATCACTGCCAATATATGTATGTTTTTTTTTTATTTCAATTTGCTGAAAACGCAATAGAAAGACAACCTGAGTGCGATGATTTATGGTTTGCTTTACGAGGCTCACGCAATTGTGAACCGACAGTCTCATTTACCGAAGACGCCAAATTAACGTCGGGAGGGAGTTTTATATACGTATGTTAAGATATTAATTTATTTGTCGATTTAAACGACAGCCTAGCTCCCATTTAGCGTTTCGGTGAGATTTGTACATAAACAATCGATATTACGATCGTAATCGGTTGTTTTAAAGTCTCGATCGCTTTGCTAGTCTAGTCGGGGATAGAATGTAGCGTTTAAATTATATATATATATTCGATGATTTTTGGAGGAGGAAAGTGCCGTTAATCGCGTGCGACAAGTGTGTGCGACAACAGTTTTTATATAAACAAAATGGCGACCAGAGAAAAAATATATTGTATTTATGTATACGAAACGAGATAGAGGAGATTAACACACTATGTATAGAGCGTAGAAAAAAAAAGTTGCCTTATATACATATAATATATATATATGTATACACATTATTACAATTAAATTATTTCAAATTGCATTGTCGCGCAATTGCATTTGTCGATTATTTGCGATCGTGCAAAGAATGAAGTAACTATTCACACAAACGCGTATAAACTTGTTAGGTCTTAAGCTGTGGAAAAAAAAATTGTTTTTTGTACTTTGCTCAGAAATAAACTGAAAATATTTCTTATTATAGAAACATTCGAATTTGTGTCTCATTTTTACGCCCATCTTATTCAAAGATATGCACATACACGTATATATATATAACTCTGTTAAAAAAATAAAAACAATGATAATCATAAGGAATTTAAAAAAATGCGTACAGCAAAGTGTCTTATTTGTGGCGATTTCACTTCGCACAATCATTTTGATTACCGCTTCTCTCACGTTTATCGCTCGTGCTACTACCGACACTCGCACACTGATCACGTGCAGAATGACAAATCCTTAAACCAAACATTCATGAACAAATGCGCAGGCTTTATTCTCAAAGTTTTATTTTCAAACAAATCAAATAAGAAACATATATTGTCGCTTCATTTGTTTTTTTATTTTTATATTGAATTTTTAAGTAAGTATATGTTATAAACACTTTAATAATTTACATCAAGATTGAAATTTTCAAATTTGAAATGTTTGCGGAAAGTATATAAAAAGAGGAAAGCGTGAAAGTATAAAAAAATATTTAGAAAATAATAATAGTTAACATGACATTAAGTTCCAAATTAATGAGAACACAAAACTAAAGCAATACAAAAAGAAAACTCTTACCAAAACGATGATTAAAAATAAAATAATTTATATTCTACCAGAGAAAGAGACAAAGGGAGAAGATAGAGAGAAAGAGAAAAAAAAAAGAAAATGAGAGAATAATGCAAAAAGATTTAATAAATTAAGTTTCTGTGCTTTACATGTCATGAATGTTCACTAACTGTGTATTATTAACTTCTTGCCGTATTTTGACGAGTATTTAGACTCGTGCTATACCGATTATCGACCAAACCAACATGAAAAAAAAACAAAAAGAATGTCATTTTGGCTCATCTCGCAAAAAATATCATTTTTCACTTTTGTTCGCGTGTTGCCAAACTAATTCGTACGGCAAAAGGTTCATGGCTCAATACCAACATAGGGAAAGAAGTCATACTTCTCACTTTATAATAATAGCCAATATTTCTCGCACTGATTATTGTATCGATAAATCGTATGAAGATTAATCGAGAGAAATATAAAAATAATTTTTAAGTACAGATCTTAATATATTATTACATAGAAACAAAAAAATAAATAATATAATTATTTCTTTTAATATATTACAATACTTACTTAGAAGCAATAAAGAAACTCGTCTTCTTTTTTATAAAAAGAAAAGAAATAGCTAAGTCAATGAAACGCTAAAACGCAGTCTGCTTTTTTTTTTTTCAATTCCAGTAGAATCTCCGACTATTTGTAACAAAACGAAGAATTCTTTTTCTCTATGAAACATCTATACACTTTTCTTGTTTTCTCGTTATCACGTTATATGTACACACACGTAAATACTAGAAAATTTATATTCGATAATATTTTACATTGCACTGTGTAAAATTTCTGTTACTTCATCGAGTTCTGTGAACCGATCAAGGGAAAGATCTGTGTGATCTTGCCGATGCCTTTTGTACGTCCCTCTCTGAACAACAGTCGCATTCCAACGTGAAGATACTCTGGATAACTGACAAATCTAAATAGCACGGAAGCCGTGTCGTTTGTTTGCAGCCCTCGGTTGTTCGCTTCCATTATCCCCTCGATAACACAGGTCTGCCTCACGTTACCCACGTGTACAGTCGTTTGAAATCCGGGAAATATTGCGGTCGCGTGATACACTATCAATACCGTCGCCTAAGAAAACACAAATGTGAAAATTTCGAATCGAAATAAATTTTGTATCATTCTTTCTCAGTTCTTTTGAAAGACTTACACACTTAGCGACATTGACGTCTCGTTACCTGAAAAAACAGTGTTGCATGCGGTTGATCACGTAGAGAAACTAAAACCATTCCCGGCCGAAGATGCGGCAGAGGAGGACTACGATTCGTAGGTGGTGCCAAGGTCAGACTAGCGCTCTGCGATGCTCTGACTAGACAGCACGGAGCTTTATTGCGATGTAGACTAACTACTTTGACTGGGCTAAATTCACCATCCGGCAAAGGTCCGACCAATAAACGAGTTCCCGGTGCGATCGCTCCTTTAACGAGCAGTCCACCCAAAACTGGCTGCGTCAAGCCCGCCACCCTGTGCAATATAAATATCGTTTTCAAGAGAAATTTGGAAAGGGAGAAAAATATATCGAACATAACGCTCTTCCGTACAAATGTTAGATGGCAAAAAATACCGATTATATGTAATTACCTAAACGTTTCGTCAATTTGGAACAGACATGACTCCGGATCCGATTCGATCGAATTTGTTTCGTAAGGGGCTAAATTTTTAATAAACGTGGTCAATTCCTCAAGACCTTCGCCGGTGACGCAACTAATACTAAATACTGGTATCACATCGGACGTGTAGTCCCACGAAGACACATCATTGCTAAACAACACTAATTGCTTGGGATAACCCTGCGTCCTCATGGCATTTTCAAGTTGAACTAAAGTCTCGGATATGTCGCAGTAACCTAAGTCAATTTTGTTCACTACTATGAAGAACGGCAATTTTAACGCTAAACAGAGAGCCATGTGTTCCTGCGACGCTTCGTTTAGAGGCGGAGCTACAACGAGCATTACGTGATGCGGCGAATATCCTGAAGAATTGCAAATTATTTTTGAATTAAATAAATATGTATAAAATAATATGTATATTTTATACATAGTTTTAATTTAAAAATATACATTATCTGAAAGACGAAATCTTAAAAGTCATTAACGTACCTGTCAGTCCGAGCACCGTCGTCCTCAGGTATTTCCGATGCCCGGCTAAATCGATGAACGTGACAACTTTCGAGGCGTGCTCGCATATCTCTTCGGCTGTAGCCATTTCGGCGTAGTTCAGTACGTGTCCCGAGCCATCGAATCCAATGATCTCGTGCGATATCGAAGACGTGCGACCTGTCTTTATTTCGTGCAGATGACGCAACATGTTGAGTCTCGCTCTGCCTCTACCATTGTCTAATTCACCTTGCGTCAGTACACCTGTGTACACATTGCGTCTCTGTTATTATTCTTTGTAAATTCGTTCTTTTATTTTTTTTCCCCGACGAATTTGCACAAGGAAGATAGCACAGGTAGCAAGGTGGTAACATAGACCGTCAATATCGTTTCTCTACCTTAAATATCCTCTGCTAATCCTCTCACCTAAGAGAGTCGACTTTCCAGCATCCTGTGCGCCGGTAACCGCCAGCCTCAAATCTACAATACTGTCCTGGTCCTCTCTGTCGTCCTTTCGTAATTTTTTCACTAACACTTCGGCAACTTTCTTCCCCTCCTTATTGTTATTATTATTACTATTATTCTTAATATTAGTGGTTTGCGATGCCAAAGTCTTACTTGAGGAACTTGCGATCACACGCTCGCGCAATACTCTTATAGTAGCGCCTAATCTGGAAGCCATGTCCTTAAGTGTCTTTAACGACGTTTTCATTTCCTCTTTCGTTAGACCAGCCAGTCTGCCGTTGTCTTCCACTCCTGCATATGCCATGTACATTGAGTAATAAAGCAAAAAAAAGAGAATCAATAAAGAATTTTTCCTGGCACAGTTAATACCGATTTGATAAATCGCCTCTCCGTGTCCTTCTTTCAGTCTCCATTTCATTTGGGTAACCAGATGTTCGAAACGTTGACTAGATGGATTTATTAGCTTTAATTTGTACTCTATATTCCCTTGTTCAGGCTCAGGGGGTAGTTGTTCCTCCTGATCCTCATCGAGACTAGAAGTCTCACAATCTGATAATCCATTTCCTTCATTTTCAGAATCGTCCCACTGTCTTTTGTTTATATTTTTATCCTCTTGTGGATCGAATAGTTGCAAAAATGATTCCATATCTGCAACAAAACAAAAAGAGAATAATAATAAATAAATCGAATTCTCTTAAAAAAATTCTATTAAAAATTCTCTTAAAGTTTGATTAAACACATATGTAATACAGAATAAAATGTAATAGTAACAACACTTATATATTCAATTATTTACAAAAAGTTTTTATTTTACAAAGATATTAAAACACAAATATAATTATATATATATATATATGTTTAATTGAAGCAAATAGTACAATAGCACAATAACAACATTATACATAATGTAACATCATATAAAAGAAGGATTGCATCATGCTTGCAAAATATATAAAAATATGCAAATTTATTCAATTATTATTATATAAATTATTTCTCAGTCTTATTCTTTTCTATTTATTTGCAAATTCTTTATTATGTTAGAATTTGACCTTAAAGTGTCTTTTATGCGTTGCTACAAACAACAAAGATGTTTACTGTTTAAAACAGATTAATTTAGATTGAGCAAAGTGATGCAATAATAGATTGAAACATATATTTTTGTTTCTAAGAAAGAAGAAAAATGCATTTTTAATTATCTCTTTTACATATCTATTAAATCTTTATTTGTAAAAAACTAAGATTATGTAAATAAGATTATCTTTCGCTATATATGTGAAGTACATACATAGAAAACTTCTATCTTCAGAACAACAGCAATATATATTTCTGCGCAGAGCCAAATATTTATACCGTTTCATCAGAAGATCCTCCGATATACGCACGTACACGTATTATATATGAATGATATATACGTTATATTATGACATTCGAGCTACAACAAAACAGCAACAGTGTCAACTTTAATCAGGAAACCACGTAAATATCCCGATATCGCGGTCTTATCAATTCTGTGACTACAGAACATCGTTCGAAAACACAGAAACTTAATCGGCCGTGATTGGCAAACAGCTGTTTTGAAAGTAAAAGTGACAGAAAACAGAAACAGCGAAGACTTATCTCGCGGGAATATTTTTAGCGCTTCAGTAAAACGAATGATATAGTACATACTCACCGCATCTATCGAAGTGCGTCTTATCTCTTCAAAAATTCAGATCGCTCCGACGCGATCGTACGCTCGAGTAAACGATTTTGCTAATACAATCGCAGGACATGATAAACGTTCCGATCACCACGCGACTTTCTTCTTTTTCTCCATCTGCAATTAGGTCAGCAACTGTCAGCAACCGTCTGTCATTTTTTCTACCAATCACTATGGTCAATGGTGATTTTATTGGCTCAGTGAGCACATGTACAGGACTACCAACTTCTATCTACACAGAGAGAAGACTGAGAACGGCCAGCCCTACAAGAGAATATGTAATCGCTTTTTCAACCTGTGAGCCAGCGCAATGTCTATGGGTGGTGCACATTGACAACTACGTACCAATGTCAACAAACGACTTGTCGGTATGTACGTTATCAAACGTGAACATGGTTCTATTCCGTGCTATATCCGCTCTCAGTCTTCTCTCTGACCTTTTGCACTAGGATGGTACGTGGATTTAATTTATAAATTTTTATTAGAGCATTAAAAAAAGACACATAGTAATTAAATACAAATTGATTTTATGTATAAATAAATTTTGTTTCGCAGGGTATTGATATTAATCATAAACATGATAGAAAGGTGCGACGGACCGAGCCTAAGTCGCAAGATATATATATACGTCTTCTAGTGAAGGTAAATGAGTTTAATATAAATAAGTAAATTTTTTACCTTTATATACAGAAATAAATATTTGGATTGTACGTGCCAAATTATTAGATAAACAGATGTATCAATTATTTTATCGATACACGGTGGGGTTATGTTGTGAGCTATTTTGTCTCCCTCAATTCTCAGTCGTATAAACAAATATTAAAAAAAAAAATATTAAACTATAGCGAAATTAATCTTTTCATTTTAGCTATATCGATTTTTGGCAAGAAGGACAAAATCGAAGTTCAATCAGATCATCCTCAAGCGACTCTTCATGAGCAAAATTCACAGACCTCCCATTTCTCTCGCTCGTGTTGTACGATTTATGAAGAAACCTGGACGGGAGAATTGTATGGCAGTAGTGGTCGGCACTATTACTGATGACGCTAGAATTTTTGAAGTTCCAAAATTAACGGTAAGTGACAGACATAAACAATATAAACAAGAATATAAATTGTCTAATTAAATAGGTGTGCGCTTTGCGAGTGACAGCCAAAGCTCGGGAGCGAATCTTGAAAAATAATGGCGAAATTATCACATTTGATCAATTGGCGTTGCGCGCTCCAACTGGCAAACGCACCGTTTTGATGCAAGGTCCTCGCAAAGCTCGCGAGGCGGTGAAACACTTTGGGCTGGCACCCGGTGTTCCTCACTCTCATACCAAGCCATATGTACGCTCCAAAGGTCGGAAATTCGAAAGAGCAAGAGGTCGCAGACGTAGCTGCGGTTATAAAAAATAAGGTCGATCTGTGGCATCCAGTTTTGCGAAAACTACCTGTTTTATATATGAAAATAAATACTGGTTTATATAAATCTTTTTTATTCTATACATCAATTTTTAATCCTACTTAATTATTTGGTAATAATTCCATTTTTTCTAAATTGCATTTACAGTTTGTTGATTTAACTACGTTGTTGTCGCTTCATCTTGCTGCTCTTCCGTGGATTCCTCAGGTTTCTCTTCGTCGTCTGACTGCGTTTCTTCTACAACAGTGACATCCGGGAAATATAACTTCGACTCTTCAATAGCCTTCTCGGGACTTTCGCTCACATGGAAAGGTCCGATTCCAGCAAAACCCAGAAACGCTTCGCAACCTACTTTCTTCACGGTGCAGACGAATATTTCGTAACTGCAAATGAAAAGTACTGATTCAATATACAAGTAAAGATTAATTTATATTACACAAAATATGAAAACAAAAGAATTCAATGCAAGTTTTTTTATAATATTCTTAATTATATATAAAATTTTCAAATAATTTTCAAATTTAAATATAAAGGGGGAGAATACCCTGTCTTTTCTTCCGTGCTCGTCTCAAATGTTTCTATATTTTTGCCGATCATTTTCGCCTCAGGCGGTTTATCATATTCGAATATACCGAAATCGATCACATCATCGTTAAACATTTCCAACACCATTTTTAAATCATTTTTACGCGTGTAATCGTATTTAAAAACGGTTATAGGTACTTTCGTCATCTTATCTTCATACTAAAAAAAAAAAAAAGACAGTTGTGTGAAAATATATTGCAGGATCATATATGATGACATCTCATTTTGCGTATATAATACTTACTGGATATGTTATGATAGTGTAAGCATTGAATATCGTGCGGAAGACCACTGCTTTGTTTCTAGGATTCGGAGGCGTCCAGACAAATGGAAACTTTTTACTTTCCTTATCAGGCACTTCAAAAGCAGGACAATGTTTTCCGGCAAAACTACAGGTAAGATTAATATTAATAACAATAAGTAATTAGTTAATCAATAGGCAATCATATTAATTTTCATTTTGATGGAAATCATTGAAAAAATGATTCGTTAGAAATTTATAAAAATTAATGAAAATAAAATATATATACCATTCTTCATTTAAACAGTCTTCTGATTCCGGTAACGTCGATTCATTAAAAATGATATCACAAAGATGATTGTGAACATCTAGATCTTTTTTATCCTCGATGATTTTTAATCGCATAAACATGCATTTGCCGTCAAAGAGAAGTTGTTTGGCAAATTCCGAGAAGCTGTACGTCGACTGAAATGAAAAAAAAAAAAAAAAATAAAAAATAGTATATTTTTTATCGACAGAACATCAACGTAAAATATTTCGTTCATGTAACAATAAAACTACTTCGTCAAGCATTTGATTGAGTAGCTCTTCATTCATCCGTTTGCGTATCTCTTGTTCCACCGTGTAATTCTCTGGCAATAATTCCTCGACCAATTCCACGTATGGTGGACTCGACTTTTTGTCTCGTCTCTTTCCTTCCTCGTCCTTAAATATCCAAGGGAACAGAAGCAGACACGTCTCGTGGCACAATGACGTCGTTAGATGTAACATCTCTGCCTCGTATCTCGCCTTAGCTTCAGCTTCTGCATAGAAACACGCACATACGTTTTCGTAAATTTCTGTTCTCAATTACGAGAAATAATTTTGTTTCTTACCTTTCCGAGATTTTTTCGCCTTTTCTTTGGCTATTCTCGCCTCCTCCTGAATCTTTAGACGTGTCACTTCTTCGGGACTTTTTTCGGAAACGTCCAACGAGAATCTGTAGTGTTTTAGCGAAAGAAAAATAAAACATACAATTACACTACAGGCTCGACCAACGACACTTATAGACACTGTAAATGATTTTTAATTCAAAAAGATACATAAAATTATCGACCTACTCATATTCTTCGTTGTTTTGAATTCTTTCAAGCTCGGTCATCAACATTTTCACAAATTCCGGACAATGCGCTCCGAACATTAAGTTTATCATTCGGCCTTCCTGTCAGAAAAAAGAACATTCTCAATTTTAATAAATAACAATTTACAATTATTTCTCTCTACGCGCGTGCGCGCGCGCTACTCGCGGAAATGTTTACGTGAATAAACATCCATGTGGGTTCACTTTTTCCTTGAAATCTCTTTAAATCGGTAACGCGGTCGCAACTCGCCTGAAAACGATAAAAAAAACTCGGTATGTACATATATACTCCGCGTTATATTTTTTTATTCTAACATTTTCTAGCAATTTTGTTTACCGTAGCGTAACTCAGTGCGTCGCCTCCAATCTCCATTTTTAATTTTTTCAGAATGCTCACCATGCCTGTGCACGGACCGCTCCAGTCCGAGTAGACGTCCACTACTACGTAAGCAAGAATATTGAACGTATTTCGTTGTACAATGCTTTAATTAGATGACAACAATTTATTAAATATTTCCGCAACGCTACGTGAGTAATTTGTAAAATCTGTTCACCAACTAAACCCTTCCGCTGTAATATCTTCGCCCACTCTTCATCGTTAACAACTTCCGTCTGCAACGCCGCGGGAGCTACTTTTTTCGCCATTCTACCGGACGTTTTTTTTCCACCCTGAAATAGAATACAATTAATCAAACCGTACGTCAGTTAATATTTGAAATGCATCTTTGTAGAATTTTTTTATTTTTATATGAAAATCTAAATACTATAGAAAGTAATCGCAAAACTATTTGAAAGACACTCCGAATGTCTCTCAGATATTTTTTAAATGTTTCTCGAATTGTTTGTTTTAAATTATTGAATTACAGAGCAATTATATAAAAACGTTATTTAAGACTGTATAAAAATATGTAGTTCTCTTCAGCACTCGATTTTCGCGCTTTACCCTTTTGTAACGCAACATCTTCTTAGCTAAAAAGAGTCTCTATCGCAGTTATGAAAACACCGGGACGTAAAATTTCAATTTTAGATCAATTGATCTATCTTCGACGAAGTGGAGACGTGTACTGCATTAATCGTGTATTTTCCGCCGGTTTACATAGGCTTGCTTTTAGCTGTTACGGGGACATCGGCGACATAGTAGGCACGCGATATAATATAATGATTAACGAGCTCGTGATACAAATACACGCGCAAGTAATTACGGTGCAGGGAGAATCGAGGGTTCCGCAAAGTAAGAAGTTCTCTGTATAATAGCATTGTCATCAGACATTTAACCGGGCTATGCCTTAAAGAGGCTACCTCCTCGGAAAGGAACGATATAATGCGATGCTTTAAATCGTAAGCTCTTCGCTTTGCTGCAGTTCTATCTTTGAAAAAGAATCAACGTATCCTTATCTAAATAAATGCATTTATTTTTTCAAATGTATTTAGGCCTTTATGTATTTGTTTATTTTTCACATGTATCCTTATATACAAACAAATGCATTTATTCATTTTATAATATTCAGTTACTTCAGTTATTAAATTTTTGTGGCTTTTTTTACTTTTTTATCAACTTAGCTTAATATTTTCAATATTAAATATACATTTAAATATTTTTTAGAGAAAGAGCAACGAATACACAAATGTATTGTGCATAATTTACTTGTTAGATTTTTTTCTAAAAAGTTGCATTTTTTTGGATAAGTGTACATGTATGTATCTATATTATTTTTTGGATATACATGTATATATTCATGTTGTGTTTATATATTGTATATATATAACAAGAAAATTATAAAAACTATATTTTTTACCTCCTCAAAAGTGCGTCAAGAAATTCAATACTCAATGTTCACGATGTTTTTACAACCTAAAAGACTATAAGCGTATAAATAGTCAGGAACAAAGTTGTTTTACATTACAAAAATTCCACAAGTTTTTACCGAGGGAATCTGGATTGAATTTGCCAAGAAAAGTCGATAAAATTATATATAGCACCGCGCGCTCAAATAGTCTTACAAGAAATCCTATTGCGTGCCACGATTCAATTTTTTCTTGACAATTAGAACAACAATCGTGTGACAATTAGAACACGACTTGCACATCAATAATCGGTTACAATCTTTGTTGATTCTTGTATGTATGGTTACTACGCTACCGCTACGCTGTTCGTGTCCAATGTCCAATCACGATATATATGTAAAATCAACTTGACGCTGTTGCGGGCTGATCTACATTTATTTCTGATTGAAGTTTGACTTATTCGGGTTTTCATTCTTATATTTCTACTCAAATGTGAAACAAGGGATAAAGATGATTTAAAAAATAGAGAAATATAAAATACAAACAATACAGAAATATATATTATCGTTTTAATGTTTTTTTTACACAATACAGATAAATGTCAGTCTTTACGCAAATACTGGAATGTTTATTCTCTTGATTCTTTCGTTCTATTTTCTGCTAAAAAAATATGAATATGTTTTGTGTTTATATGGTTTTGTCTATGCATCAGAGAGAGAGAGAATGAATATCCCAGTACATTGACATTTAGAGTATTATATTCGAAGTTATAAGGCTTTTCTTAAGTTCATGTTTTGTTCAAATGCTTAATCATTTAATTATCAATCCATTGATTTAATAGATAATTTTTCTTACATTTTCAGTTTAGCCTGCAATAAAAAAAAAAAAATATTGTTAATTTCTTGTTCAGAAAATCAAATCGAAATTTTGAAACATGATACAAAATCATTTTTTGTATTGAATTCTATGGCTGCACTTTCTTGCGCTAGCTGAATATCTAGGCTAGAAAGTTCAAAGTTGATGTATACTTAGAACGTGTGATGTCACGTCCATCAAAATAAAATGCTTTGTTGCATATCTTTGATAAGTATAATAATAATAATAATAATAATAATAATAATAATAATAATAATAATAATATTCAGTTTTAGAATACAAAAAAAAAAATAATTATTTACAAAAAGAAATATTAATTACAAAAAGTACAAATAAGACATGGTTTACGCAAGCCGTAATCGGTAAAGTTCAACTGTAGAATTTCAATGTTTTCGTTTATAACGTTCTGATTCATCCGAGTTGAACTTTACCGATTCCGGCATAAGTTAAGGGCCTGCATAAACCAGATCTAAAATGAACAATCGATCGAGTCGATTCGGCCGATTGTGAAAGCGATCACGCTTGTATGTGTGTTTGAAATAATTTTATATATAATAAAATAATACTTACTTTTTTGTTATTGTTGATATTTCTCCACTTTTTATCGTATCTTTTATTAGAGCAGATTTTTTTGATGTCAATTTACTCTTCCGTGAAACATCTTTCTTTACTATCTTAGATGTACTTTTTTTAATTGTATTTTTTGGTGTGGATTTTGCAAATGTAATCTTGTTCTCTTTTGATATAGGTTTAGAATGATTTTTTGATTGAGCTTTTACAGTGTTATCTGGTTTAGGCGACGACCTAATGGGAATCGGTTGGTAACACATGGCATGATGAACCGCCCAGCGTTTCTCTGGATTATCAGAATCGTCTCTCTCATATTCTTTCACGTGATACACTACACTCACCGCCTGATACGATCTTTGTAGATAAAATTTCAATATATCTCGCAAACTCGGAGATTCTCTTGACAGTAGAGGCTGAAAAATACAAAGCACAAAATAATTGCTTCAACGTGACTTGACAATTTTCGCGTGTATCAACATCACAATTCTGAAAATTTATAAAAGTATAACGACGAACATTACACCATTTGGCGTCCAATTTTCTCTAGATAAAAGTTTTCAATAACTTTATTTAAAAGATAATCTTTTTGTATCTCTTTATCCAGAAAATAGCTATCGGGAGGTATGAAAAAATCGGGCCTTACCGGATTTACTTCGCTGTCAAAGATATTTGCTAAAGATTTATAATTTTTGGACAAGTAATCGGACACAAGCGCGGATAGCATCCTCTCTATTGGTTTCTCCGTGTCTATTACTTTAAACATGATAAAACAATCAAGATGTAACAGCTACCGAACAAATTCAACTACTTCAAAAAAGATTCCAATTGTGACTCTGACGAAGATTGACTCAGAATGAAGAAATTAACGGAAGTTTCAGTATCTGTTTTCAGTCTGGTGCTTTTCATTGGTAGTTTACCGGGAAATATTATTGGATTTTAGTTAAGAGCGCGCGCAACTTTTCTCCGCTCTCACGTGACTGCATGTGGAACTTCTGTTTTTCTCTTTTTCAAAAATTTCCGATAGATCCGCTTGAAGATCGTGATTCGTTCGCACGATCGTTCAATGATGTATATACATACATACATAGAAGTTGCAACTTACGTGTAAAAGTAATATAGCATTATATAGTCTAGAGAGCTTAAGAGAGAGGGGATCCCTTTAAGCCTATGTCACACTACGGATTAGGATTGAGATTGGATTGCAATTTGGCCAATCAGAGAGAAGATCACTAAACTTAGGATTGGTTTTCTTTTTTCTAATTGGTCAAATTTCAATCTAATCTCAATCCCAATCCGTAGTGTGACATAGGCTTTAGCTACGATTACGATCAACCACGATCAACGTAGCGACTTCGACGCTCATTGGTCAAAACAGTTTTGTACTGTGTCCGTGCAGTTTCTTTTTTGTGTACGACGGCCTTAATGTTACGTCGGTTTTAATCGTATTTACGGTACGCTTTGTGTTCGTCAGTTTTTTAAACATTAGTTTTTAGTAGAGTAAAAATAATAAAGCATGTAAATAAATTTATAATAATAATAAATTTATTTACATGCCACGACTAAAACGCATTGATCAGAACTTTCTTTGAAAGTAAGTATAATTTGTCTCGAAAAATGTACTAGCTGATATGCGCAAATTGAAGGTTAGGTTTTGTGCGCGCGAATAAAGTTGTCGACGATATGCGCGTGCGCGGTTGATCGGGTGATTTTTCAATTGTTCAAATTTTTTTATATTCCATTTATTCCATGTATTTTAATTTCTTGCGTGATTCAACGTAATTATATTTAATAATAATTTTCTGACAACTTGTACTTTTTACGTTTTTTGTAATCTTAACTATAGAGATGATATAAAGAGAAGATATACATGTATAACAAATTTCAAACTAATATGAGAATGATAATAAATATGAGAAATATATATAAACTTATGTATTTATATGTGTATATGTGAGTAACAAAATTTTCATAAACTTTGAGGATAATTCGCATCAAGTTGTACAAACATGTTTGGAAAGGATGCCATCAAACTAATAACTGAGCTTGATATGTATGAAGATATTCGACCATTTAATGTAAGTATTCTAAGTAGTTTTTGTACTCTAAACAATAATAATTGTGTTGATCTCTCATTTACTTTCTATAGGAACAAATAATGCAACAAGTTTTTGAAGAAATGCAGATGCTTTATGAAGCTAATCTGGAAGACATCAGGTACTGATTAAAATAACTTTCAAAACATTAATATAATTAATTAACAGAACTATGAAGCAACATGTACTATCATAAATTGTAGATTTTAACAATTATGTAAGTGTTTCCTTGATATTCTCTTTTAGGGAAAAAGACAACTCGCTTTTACCGTCGGTGTATTTTCGCCATGCAGCTTTACTCAGGAATCAAAGATGCGTGTTAGCGTATCTGTACCACAGAATCAAGCGATTACGACAGATGCGCTGGGAATTGGGCAGCATCTTGCCGGCCGAGGTAACGGCGAATCTGTTGAAAGCGGAAGAAGAGTGGTTTCAGAATTACAACAAATCTCTGGCCACTTACATGAGGTCGATCGGAGACGATCACGGATTAAATCTGACCGTGAATATGTGTCCTCCGAAAAGCCTCTATGTTGAGGTATGGATCAGCCGGAGCATGAAACGTAAGAGATCTATAAGACAAAAATAAGATATTAATTAGCAATTTGTTTCAGGTGAAATGTCTGAGCGATTTCGGCAAGTTGGAACTTGATGATGGCGATATTATTACGCTCAAAAAGAACACGTATCATCTGCTACCGAGATCCGTATGTGAGCCGCTCATCAGACAAGGCGTACTCGAGCACCATAACTCGTAATAAGTAATGTACATTTTAATACAGTAATTTATATTATCGGGGTGTTTATTTTTTATTTTGTACCTATCTAGATTTTTACGTCAACGTTATTATTATTGTCACTGATATCTCTTTATATTTCGTATAATAATATAAAGATGATAAAAAATTTATTTTGTGCTTACACATACATCATGTGTATTTCCATCGCGTGTCGCCGATTTCGTGTTCATAGCATGTGCTAAATATACTTTTCGAATATGTATAGTTCTGTGACACTTGAGAAATAAAATTTAACTCTTTTGCTGTGCGGTGAAGCTTAATGCAGAGCGCGCATGACGGCGAAACTCTTGGGGAAATAGACACACATAAAGACAAAAATATATAGGACTTGAGAGATAAGAAGGGTGGCACGTAACAGTTAGAAAGGTGTGAGCATGATATGTGAGAAATATAGACTAAGTGCAATGTCAAAATATATAACACAAAATTGCTTTTCTTATACATAATTTGCGCATGTCTATTAAGTTAGCCGTTCTTCAAACAAAAATACATTATTAAACAAAATACATAATTTTTGTGTAGGTTGTATTTTTTGTTTGAAGGAGAGGGGAGTTAATTTAATGTACATAATTTGAACTGTGGATTAATTTACTCTGAATATGTCGACGTGCATATTTCGTCGATAAAAGTGTGAAATTACAAAGGCCGAAATCTCGATGACCTCGTTACTTGCGTAAATGTTGTCTCGGATCAGTTTAAGAATGTTCCTATCTCGCGTGGCGATTTATCAAGGGACATTGAAATGATATTTGTGTAAATGTGCAATTATATATTGCGCAGTAAGTATGATAAGTAATATAAGACACATGAAATTGCGAAGCAATCTCGTGGTAATAATCATTCGACGATAATATAATTATCATTTGCCCTTATATTATTATCCTTTCTGAATATACTTGCATGAGCGAGTTCTATCGTCGTTAAAACTCGATTTCTATTTATTTATGTAATTACCACTTATATTCTAACAGTTTGATTCCAGTGATAAAAAAAAATAGGTTTGTTATCGTAACGCTCTTTATCTTAGTCGTTAATGTTTTCGAGTGCTACCACTAATGGTATTTGATCTTCTTTTTTTTTTTCTTTATCTCTTTCTCTTTGTAAGAAACAGATTTTAAATAAGTCTCGCGAAATAACGATCGCTATTAAAGATTAAGATCTTATACTGATAAATGTCTGCACTTGTCGAACAAATAATGCTGCAATTATTTACACATTTTCTATCGTTATCGTAGGTTTTCCCCCAGATAATCCGAACATTGACACGGCAAAGTCCACCTGTCTAACAAGGTCGTTCAAACACGCTGAAAAAAAATCTTCACTTGTGTTCTTACTTATTTAATCATTCTTATCTTATTTTAATAACATTGTTATAACGCGCATAGCAATATCGAGGAATAGTAAATTTTGTTCATGTGAAGATATTTTAAAAATTTGCAATTTACAGAGTCGTTATCTGTTCATTTGTTTAAGATGTTTTGTGTTATCAAATCACACTTTTGGATCACTTATATCTTTATTAGATAAAAGTTTTTTTAAAACTGTGTTTTAATAAGTGGCAAATATTTATTTCTAGAATGTTTTCTGTACAAGTTTTTGCATCATCTCTTTCTTCTATCTCTTTTCTGTCTCCTTATATATTTTAATAAGGAAATGTAGAAAATGTTTTTTTCTAACGAATGCTCTTGTTTTTACTTTCAGATAAAAGAATTCATTATCTTTGATGACCTATTATTGCGTGTAATCTTTATTGTTTCGACAAGATCTGAGAAATCCCACTGACAGAATTATTTAACTTCAAAGGAAAGAAGGTTGTATACATTTGTCTGAGTTACTATTTGTACGCCACACAAAGGTAAACGATAAACGGTTTATCGTCTTAATGTGACGCGGTGTGCGGCGCGGCACGACCTCCATAATAATGGAAAAACCCATGTGGAATGTCTGCAATGAAGAGCTCTTTTGTTACGTATCGAGGCCGCACATTCGGCAACCAACGAATCGATTTCCCGGTTACGAGTCGTAGTCAACGACCGTAGGAGAACGTTTTACCGATTGTGCATGGACGACTAACTTCAAACACAGGAAATGCCGCTGAGATCCGGGAATTTCCGGTGAGTTCGACTCGCCGCTTTTACCGGGACAAGCGTTACGAAGAAAGTTCTTCTGCCATTTATACGCGGTGAAAGTGACATTGGCCAATACATAAGTCACTGAATCTGCCGATCTATGATAGACAGTCTGCAAGAAATATAAAGGTATGTTCGCATAAAGAATTGTAGCACTGCTAAATAATTGATTCGATATTTCTGCCTCTGTATGTCTTTATAATCTAACGATTGAAATTAATTTAATGAATAAAAGTTTTTAATAAACAAGAAAATTTAATAATACCAATTAATATAATCGGCGTATCGTTTAATTTATAACAATCATCGTTAATTCTTTTTGTGTACAAAGAGGAAAGTTCCATCGCAACGTATTTGCAGCATTTGACGCTGGATAAATATTATTTGATTTTAGAGATAAAATCATCGCGCTTTTTTTTTAAGTTTCGGTATTATAAAAATTCGGTTCTATGCAATTACGACAATAGCTATTTCGTTAGATCTGAAATAACACCCTTCATATATCTATATGAGAGAGTTCTCCTAGAACTTCTATTATACTGCAAATGTTCAACGGGCTATGTCTGTTGATAAGGATACGCGAGTACATACTCGCGCATTCATCTGCCGCACAATCGCAAAGACAGAACTTGATAACAGCATTTACGCACGACGAATTACATTGAAAGAAATGTCACGTTGAGATAACAAAGTACTCGTGCACATGTAGTGGAAATTATTGCGTAATAACAATTTACGTCAATTTGATACAGTGCGTTGTAACGTCTCGCACGTGCGTTTCATTCTTTATCAAAAAAACTGACAAAAGTATAAAGAAAAGTGGAAGAAGTCTATTCGTAACTTCTCTCTTATCTCCAATAATAAACTTCTAAGTCCACATCTGTGGCGTTCAGACTTTTCTCTTCCGCCTCCCTCCCATTTTTGGTGAAAATAGCTGAGAATCTACCTTATCAGCTCTCCTCTTTAAAAAAAAAGATAGTGTGGAGAGGGGTCCAAGATGCCACGAAGCGAATAGGAAAAAAAGTGAGTTTGTCACAGGCTATCAACCAGTTAAAATCATTGTGGACGCATCAGACTCACAGGTTCACTTTACATAAACTTTTAGTGTGGTAAGCCTATTTTTTGTTCTTTAATGAAACTTTCTGGTTTTAATCCTGATGAGCGAATGTAAATTGATTTCCGAGAAATAATAATAAAATAAATAATTTACAAATAATAATAAATAATTCATTTTGGCAGTGAAAAACTGGCCTATTGAAGCGCTGAGACTGCTGCTAACTGCTTTCGTTCCAACACACTTTTATGAAGAGAATTATACGAACAACAAACGAGGAAATTCTATTTTTTTGTTTTTTTTTTTTAAATAAGAACTAAAATGCATTTGAAACATCAACATTATTTTTACTGCACAAAATTCCATGTACTTGATAAAGATTATCACATAAAATTCAAGAAATGTTTTTTAACTGGTTTTTTTCATTTCGTCATGCCAGATGTTTTTTTGCAGTTTGTTTTGTGGTAAAAAAAACCCAGACGCGAGTAATATCTAATGAATATATTTTTCCTTTGATTATCAAAGTTTAAACTTATTTATTTAAAAAAGAAAAATATAATGATGTACATTTACATGCATATTCTCTATGTATTTAATATATTTATCGATCGGCTATGTTAATTCACGTATTTTCGCGAGCGCATTTAAACTGACCGGTCTGCAATGTGTTAATGTCATTGTAAAAAAAAAAAAAAAAAAAAAAAAAACTATATTATCATTAATGCCATTTCGCTCAAGTGAATAATCGTGACATTCAAAGACTGATAATACAAAATATTATCACAAAGTATTTCCACGAACAAGTGAAAAGTACTGTCGATTCATTTCGCGATACGATTACAGAAAACTGATGTTTCGTCGAAGCATTTTCTCCAAGCTTATCTGTGCGCTATATGAACTGTACATATATGTATCTCGTATCGGTTTGTAACCACATGCAGCTTGTGGCTCTGCCCGGGAGTAGATGGTGGGTTTTTCCGCCCCTACTCTTCATTCTCTCCCCAAGAATTACCGTTAGGTTGTTCTTCGCTGTGACTGGTTTCTCACACATGCGCATTGAGCGCGTCCAGTGAGGTATCGAGCTCAAAGTAAACAACGGTACCATTCGGGAGCTTCTCTGGTTTTCGATAATTTATAAAATAAAATTGATATCATGTAATATAAAATCGAAATTTAAATCTAATATCTACGGTTGCGAAATTTAATTTAAGTTTGTTGCGCAAAAACCAATGAAACCTGTTGCACTCGACGAGAAGCTAATCGCGCTCTCATTTATTATTCATTCAAACAAATCTGCTTGTTTGTTAGCCGATTTGAATATTTCATGTATGTGCGTGTACACACAATATTTTATTCGCACTCGGTGCCACTGGTTGCGCCGCACATGCGCGGGAAACACATGAAAGCAAATATATATACTTGTTACGACGATAGGGTTCGCAACAGTTCGCTCGAAGACACGTGGGAGACCAGAGAGCGGGGCGCGTCGTTCCTTGCGCGATTGTACAAAACGGTGAACACGCACGATTCTCACACAACGAAAATAAAAAAGAAAAAAAACCCCGAATAAAACACGCTTAGCGGCGGATTGCGCGTTAAACGAAGCGAAGAAGTTAGGAGTATGCGAAAATAATTTACACGAAAAGACGAGCGGACGAAAGTTACGGATACAACGCTGTTCTGGACGGGTGGTAAAGCGCCAACAGACGCGAAACGAACGAGACGAGAGAACGAGAAAAGTTGACCAAACAGTCGTGATTCGAAAAACGAAAATAAAATCGCGCCTACCGAAGCAAACGAAGAAGAAACAAAAATATCATCTCGAAGAGACATCGCGTCGATCTGAAAGATCGGAAGTGCGAACAAGAAACGATTTTTTAATACAGCGTCGTCCGTAGGAATCTCACTGTTCGTGCGGGGTCGTTGACAGCTTCTTTTTCGCGATCACGTCCGCGTGAGAAATCATCACTGTGTCACACAACGACAGTGTCATCAATTCGGTGACGGGAAAAAGCGCGCGATATCTCTGAGTGATGTTGAGAGCTAGTTGGGAATCGCGGAAGTTCATAGAGGAACATGTTGCAGAGCAGGGCAAGAAGAAACGGTGCCACGACGACGACGACGACGACGACGACGAATGCACGAGCAACAACAACGTCGACTCCGGATTCGTGTCGAGCGGCAATCTGCAGTTCAGCGGAGAGTTCTGCGACGTCTCGAATAATTCGGAGTTGCTGCGAGAGGAAGAAGAGAGGGTGGGAAAGGTGACAGTGACCACAGCGTTACCATTATCAGTAACACCGTCGTCGTCATTATCATCATCATCATCATTATTATCATCATCATCATCGGTGGAGGATCCAATGAGGGCTCTCGACAGTGGCGTTGATCTCACCGATAACCTGAGCCAGCTCTCGCTGATGCAAGTCAGCCTGAACGCGCTTGCCGCCAAACCATCGTCGTTGGACATCAAACCGCAAGGACTGCGATGCAAGAACGAGGGACTGTTCGAGTCGACAACGATTGACAAACAGTTTATGAAAACTCCCTGGAAGTTCTACTATACGCAGAACGACGACGGCAACACGTGAGTTGAACACAACGTTGTTTTTTTGCGCTGATTCCTCTTTGTAGATTCCGTTTTTCATTTTCTGCCGGTACACATGTCGGATCATGTTCTTCGCAATTGCATATTTTTATTTTCTCAAATCAGAAGAATTTTGTAAAGGAAAACACAGGAACAACAGAACACAATCATTTTGTCAGTCATTGTTGTCAGCGTGGTCTGTTTTTCAAGCGTGAGTTGTATGATGTTAATTTGAAGCGCGAACGTAATTTATGTATAATTCGATTAATTGATGACGCGCCGCATAAATAATAAAATGATCTAACGTGCTGCTCACTTGACGCGCGTTCGGTTCGAGCTCGTTGACCGGTTCGATGAAACGAGCTTCGTTCTTTGATTAGAATGCTTCTTGGGAAATTCAATTGAGCGAGCAACAACAACAAGATCATATAGTGACGCACGTAAAAATTTCATTTAATGAGTGACGTCCATCTAATGAAAGAAGCGATGTCATATAAAAATCACTTTAGACATGTGTCATACGAGACAGAAAAAACAAAATAAAAAAGTGAGCAAATAAGCAAATGAGTGAGGTAATAATTAATTAAGTAAAAAAAACTTAACAAATATATATACATATGTATATATGTATTTATTTATTTATTTGTCGAGTTTTATACTTAATGAACTAATATCATCTTGATAAATTCGTCTTATTGAGGCGAATTTTTGCATGTGTATTATTTAACTTTTAACTTTCTCACTGTAATCGCTAGTCTTAACATAAATTACTTATTTTGCAGGCAATTGCACATCGCGATCTTGCAAAACTACAAGGAATTCGCCTATGTTTTGATAACGATGGCGCCTGACCCGTACGTGCTGGACATTCCGAACGATGACTGGTTATCGCCTCTGCATGTGGCGGTGTTGACACATCAGCCGGAGATCGTCAGACACTTGATCGTGGCAGGAGCGGATCTGACTGTGAGGAATTACCGCGGAAATACACCTCTTCACGTGGCCTGCGAGAACGGAGATCTCGAGTGTGTCATGGCTCTCACAGAACCACTATCGGAAACGGAAAGAAGCAATGTTCTCAACAAGAAGAGATCAGGCATCTTTCCTCAAGACTTGGAGCAACGTAACTACGTAGGTAAGCGTTCGATTATTCTGCAAAAACGGATGTTGCCAATCTGAGACAAAGATCAGGAAACAATATTGCATCAGAGAAAGTATCACCCGAGGAGAGATCCGGGCGCGCGCATAACAATCTTATACAACTAAGTTAGCAAACGCAGCAAATAATTGCGTCTTATATTCCTTAATTGCACCTGTAGGTTTTCCTGTGAACAGTTATTTGGAAGTTTCCCCGCGCAATAACCACTAATTGCCGTAACGCCAATTTAATGGAAAAAACATTATCTATGCGAAGACACACAAAGAATGTGTGACCACGGAAAATCCTCTTTTACCGCGGGGAGATAAGTCACGTAGCCGTACGATAATATTATACACATGACTATAGAGACACGTGCACCACAAGGATATTTTATGATTTCATCAAAGATATAGTTTATATTTCTCATAATTTTAGTTTTTATGTCTGAGAACTTTATCACTTCAGAAACTTCGTGTGAATTCATAAAAAAAAAACATTAATATAATTTGAATTTAAAATCCTATAGTTACCGGATGTTCTACGATTTCTTAAATATTTCAGTGATACGTTCTTGAATTAATTTGAAATCGATGTTTTATACGAAAATGCGTAAACTTCCTTAAGTTACAAGTAATTGGGAACATCATTATTACCAAAGAAATGAAAAGATCTTGTTGGAAAGGAGCACTCAGTATGTGATGAACTTTATAACGTTTTTTGCTTACCTGTTGCTTTTCAAGCGGTGAGAACAACATAAATTTTTGTACGTCGAATGACGTACGTTTTTTCCGACGCGGCAAATTTCATGAATGTGACGTCAAATAGAACGAATTTATTTAATTCGTTTAAATATCGATCTTTATTTATCGATTGAATTACTCAACTTTTGATTTCTGACGATAATAATCAACAGTCGTAAGCGACTCATCGCGATAACAAATGAGAGGTGGCAAATCTTTTTAACGTACGCTCGGGGAATCCCTGTGCTACTGTGACGAAAATTTGTGACCAAAGATAAATAACAATACTCGGCTAAAGGTTGCACGATAAAATCGCGACTCTGTGAGCTTCGTCAGAATGCATTGTGTCATTGCGTTAATCGCGAGAAGCGGAACGATTTTCAGAAAATATACTTAAAATATATTATGAGGGAGGGAAAGATTTATAAAAATTATATATTAGAATATTAGGATTAACAATTGATAATAATATCAATAGTTATATATTAATATTTATAATTATATGTTTAATAATATAATACAAATTTATTAATATAATTACAATTAATATTTATAATTATATTTGATACTTATGTATATTAAGTATTTATAATTATGTGACTAACAAGAGATTGTTGTGCGAGCAACAACAACAAAATTTATATAGTGATACACGTAGAACTTTCATTTGAAGAGTAACGCGCCTACTGAATGTGAGAGAAGCGATGTCATAAAAAATACTTTAGACATGTGTCATACAAGACGGGAAAACAAAACAAAAAAAGTGAGAAACGTAAATAACAAACGGATAAATGAGAGTTAGCAAAGAGATTTCCTTATATTTCCATATAAGGAAAATCAAAAGACGCTACATACCACTCTTCTCTTTCTATTCACATAAAGATGAATTTCTCTAAACCGAAGAATGTGTGCGCGGTACGCATAAGGGACAAAGAAAGGAGAAGGAAGAGAAAGAAAATTGTGTGCTCGCACGCCGACAACGGTTTGTTCTCGTCACGAAATGGACTTTTTAAAAGTCTCGGAAATCCCACATAGCGTCATCGGCGCGTTATTCCGTCGCAAGCTCGTGCGACGAAACGCGTACGTACACGCACACGTGGCGTAACCAACTATTCCGGAGCGTGATCGGTTAATCAAATCAAAAAGAAATTGCAAATCTATGCTAATTGATTAAGTTCGACATATATGCGCCAAATAATTTGCCTTGTATATTTGCGCGCGAATTTGGGGAACGAGAATCGATAGAGCAATAAATTAAGAGAAGTTTCCGATATATCATTTTCGGGATCGAAAAATCACCGACTCATTCGGAATAATTGCGCTCTTCAAGTTCATTTAAAACTCTGAAACAAATAAATTTTGTTTAATTCGAAGGATTAAATGTAATCGCGTCTGCAAAATAAATGACGAATTTCACGATAACAATCTACGAGCCCATTAACTGGAATTAGATAAAATTGCTGTTTCCGCCACAAAGGCCATCGTGATTCAATTCATTGCTGAATGACGTAAAGACGTCATACTATGTTTTCTTCTTGAAGAAAAACCAGTAGCTTCGTCTGCTTGTTCGTTAGCTTCACCTCATGCTTGTACACTTACGAAACGAAGAGCAAGAGAAAACATAATATACCTTTACGTATGTACAATGTGAAATTTATTTTTTGGAGTGCGTCCTGTGCTTGCGTGTACGTCACATTACGCGGCGCGTCGCGACGGAAAAAGAGAAAGAAAAAAAAGAGAGAAAGAGAGAACACAAAGAACAGATGTTTTTGATATTTAAAAATATCTAGGACTATTTGCGTGTTGCACGATATTCTCGTTTCGCATCGGCTCGCTCAGTCGGGAAACCCCACAGCGGCGTCGACGTTAGTGGCCTCCGAACGGACTTTCACCCTTAAAAAAAAAAATCAATCCTTTGTACTTGACCCTAATCACACAATAGCTCGGTCTCGAGCTCTGTCGCTTTGTACTTTACGTAAATTTGTTCTATAGTAACCGTCGTACGAGCTCTTCTATGTACACAAGCGACGTGTGATCTAAATTAACAACCTCATTGACATTGACAATCTTAAATGAAAGCGTATAAATAATCGGATCTTGTTTATTTCAACGTCATTACAATCAATTGTGCGCAGTTCTTTTGCACAGTTACAGTCGTTGCAGATTTATACTCATAAACATTTGTGACTTCAGAGAGGATATTTCTGGTGGGAGCAATTATTGACGCAGTTACGTACATGCAAAATTATGTCGTTAGATTTGGCCAATGCGGCTGGTATGCGCAGCGCGGTTAATTTTAGCGGTTTACTCTGATTAGTACAAGCCTAGTTTGGACCGCATGGCACGCCAGCCAAACCCGCGACGGCTAAATGATTCACCGCGTCTTCCTAGTTCTATCTATATCTCACGACAAGACGCATGACTTGGATCGCATCATTCTGACACACGTGAGCGAATCCCTGACATGCATCAGAAGAGTCGATAAAAAACTTGGACGATTGTCATGCGTCAGGAACTATGCGAATATTGTCTTATCTTACGCATAGCACTAGTAGATAAATACAAAAAATAAACAAAAAAAGATTCTGTTCTTTTCGCGAGAAACACTTTGCGTTTTAGAAATTTTCCAAACTTAAAAATAAGAGAAAGGCTTACTTATGTGCTTACATATCATGTAACAGAATTCTTTTGTTTTAATTTCAGGTGAAACATGTTTGCACCTGGCCACTGCCAATGGACACGCGGAAGTGGTGCGACTTCTGATCAATCTGGGTGCTGATCTCAGATCGAAGGAAGGTCTGTCGGGTTATACAGCTCTTCATCTCGCAGTTGTACGTGAACAAGTGGCGGTGTTTAACATCTTGTTGCCTGAGTATAAACGCGCGTCCTGTCTAGATGTAGAAATATATAACGGCCAAACAGCTTACCAGTTGACTCTCTCGGCCGAGAGCGAGTTCGCCAAGAATGCGCGGAAACAATTGCTGATGTGCGGTGCGTCGACGGAGCTAATAACGGAATCCGATTCTGAGAGCAGCAGCGAGGACGAAGAAACGAATAATAATATGACTCCGTATTACTTCTCTTCGATCGTCAACAACACAATCGGTGTAACGAGTTAAAGTAGTTTCTACCGATTAGTTCATTTAAACGTATCTAAAAATCTAGAACGTATCTCTTCTTTGGAATCGTTGAATAAGAAGACAGAGTATACAGGTAATACATTGTAATGTATACGTACGAAGACTTACTTCCTAGTCGACTTGAAGCCATCTTCAGCTTATCAGCTGAATTAAGACAGATAATTGCTGCAAACAATAATTTGCAAATCAAAAAAAAAAAAAAAAAAAAAACGAAACATGATAAAAGTAATTAACAAAATAGTCCCATTTCATAACTTGAACAGAAAGTATTTCCGCGTCTACGTCAATGCGAATTTATTTTATCCCGACGAGTGAGAGCAAAAAAAAAAAAAAAAAAAGCAAANAATCAAAATGATTTTATCATATCTTCCACATTAACATAAAAAAACCTATGTATCTCGAGTTCATGAATCATCTTTATATGACGGAGCTAGACATTGGCAGAAAAAACTAGATTCTTTAGATTCAATGTTAACAAATCAATATGGCAAAACGTAGAAGAAATGAAGGACAATATGCGTATGTAAATTCATATTTTTTTGTAAACTGAAGCAGTGCCTCAGTGAAAAGGTTACTATGCAATGCCATATATAGATAAATGGCGCGCGTGTGCCTTGAATGTTCCAATAATAATAGAACAAAAATGCATTTGGCGATAATGTGTCTTTGATGTATTGCACGACAGAAGTTGTAGATTAATTAAGTTTGAAGATAATGTTGCAACTTTATAGCGCGCGCTGTGTTATGACTGGTAACGTTATTCTAATCTGCTGGACGGATTAAGATCTACAACTAGAGTGTAAAGTTTACTAGATAAGAAATAAAATTCTTCGCGAGATTAGTTGAAACACGCGTTACATACGATCTTAACGATGTATTTTAAGTCGACAAGTATTTATCGCTGCAAAATTAAGTTAAAGACTGTATGGTTTTTCGAAATCGGATCTTCAAATCGTTATTGGCAGCAGTGTATGTATATGTATGTGTGTGTGTGTGTGAGAGAAAATTGAAGAATGACGAATGAATAACGGAGTCGCGTGTGAAAGAAAATCGACGATCTCAGTATTCAATTAACGAACGAAGACACGAATTGTCTTAATAGCCGTTCAGTTTTCCTTCACTTATTCGTCGCTGAAGAATGACACGACACTAGAACTACTTTTTACTAATGCGGTACTTTATAGACTATTACACACGACGTACCTCATTATCTAGAGTGAATAGAAGATCTGTGTTCGAACACGGAATGCTCGTAAAGAATTTTTTTTTTTTTTTTTTGTTATCTATAGTTCGTAAGATTAGTTAGCGGAGACATGCATTTTAGAGAAATTATTTAGTTGTGAAGAAATAATCAAATTTGACACATTCTTACGCGCGTACGACTCATAACCGCAAATCGTTTACGTGTATTTATATCCTAAGCGAAGATTCACACCAATTATGATGTTCATATATTAGAAGATCAGTGTTCAATGTACATATAGTAATTGCAGCGACACTCAATTATCCCTTTCGTGCGCATAGACACTACGCATTAAGTAGTGGAAGTACTTACTTTACATTTTGACTAATAAATACAAATATCAGTGAAACACGTTATACGTTAATATAATAATATCATTATTGTTACATACTTTGTGTGTATATAAAGCTAATTATTTTTAATAAGAAACATGTTAAACAAACTTGTCTCCAATATTCTTTATTTTCTTTTCTCCTTTTTTCGCAAGTAGATATATCTTTATTGTTTCGTCATGTACAAAAACAAACAGAATGAATTTCTCTCCGAGTTAAGGAGAGACGGTGAAATAATCATAGTTAATATTTGCTTCTTGTGTGTAATAAAATAAACACGCGAGAGATTGCAGCGGTACATTTTGAAATTAGAACTTTAAGAAGAAGTGAAAGATATCGGAACTCGTTTGAGGTCAATGGGTTTTTCCCATTCCTCCACTTTTTGTTTGGATGTAGCAATAAATCACCGCGAGAGGGCTCCACTGCTCGGCTCTGGATCGCTGGAGATAGAGTCGCGCAGAGTATTATGTATGTATATGCGCGTACAATTATATAGTCATGTGCTTTTATACTTGGTTTTTCCGCAATAAATAGGTATTGTTAGATAGAGAGACTTCTCATAAAAAAAAAAAAAACAAAAATATAAAATGTTGGTTATTTTTAACACTGAAATTTTTGCTAAGCGCACACTCAAGCGCGAGAAATGTCAATTATTTTTTGTGTGACCAGTAAAACATGTGTGTGCATTAAATATCCAAAAACAAACAACTCCGGGAAAGTTTTCACGGAACCTAGAAGGAACGCTTTCCGTGTACGAGGGTGTCGTCGAGCAATCACGTGGTCGACAACGCGCACACGTCAGCACGTAAAAGTCCCATCCCGAGGTGTGCAAGTGCGTTCCCACCGTTTCGCAATGCCTTTAATCAGTCGGTTTACACACTTCAGTTTGTTACGAGACTCGAGACGATGAGGTTCGTTAACATTTGTGTAAACACGGCCGATATCATAACGCCGAACCTAGCCGAACCCAGTTTGACCCCTAACCTAACCCTAACCTAAAACATCGGACAGGAAGAAAAAGGAAACGGTGGCGGATATATGCGTCGACGGGAACGAAACGGAGAAGAACGTCGGGAAGAGATTCGACTTGCGACCGACTCGACCGAACGTGTGACGCTCGACAACAAGTGAAACGGCAATTGTTGCAAGAAACGAGGGGCTGGAGAAACGAAGATTAATCCGTTCGAGAGTGTGTGTGTGTGTGTGTGTTTCGCGAATCGTGACAACAGACGGGCAGAGGCTTGAAGGAAAGCTCGTTGTTGCTTACTTTGCATCTGGTGCGGTGTTACTCGATTACCGTTACGTTTGCTCGGTGAGAAGTAGTTTTCTGTTTCAAATAATCGGAGTAATCCGAAAGAGAAGAACCGAGAAGAACTTCTCTGATCTTCGAAAATGTGGCATCCTTCGAGCAAAACCACCTACGAGGTGAAGGACGAAAAGAAGCTACTGGATGAGGACGACGCCGCGGGTAACGTCGACTCTGGATTTCTGTCGGCCGGCAACATACAGTACAGCGGTGAGATCTGCGATTCGGATTTACTGCGGGATAAGGAGGAGTCGGGAAGCGCGCCGATCCCGCCGGACGGGACGTCCTCGTCGTCGGCGGCGATCGCGGACGATCTGATGAAGACTACTGACAGCGGGATTGTGGACGTTGATGTCAGCGAGAGTCTGAGTCACCTGAAACTGGAGCAGATCACTCTGAACTCGCTCAATTCTGACAATCAGATTCACAACGAGCCGACGGTGCGCTCCTCCGAGTGCTCGCCGAACGCCGCCACCCACGAAGTACTGGATTACGTGAAATTGCTCCTCCACGATGTCAAACAACAGCAACAGGATTTCGACAAAAAATGCGCGACGCTTAAACAGGAGCTAACGCGACTTTATGGCATGCAGGACGAGGATGGTAACACGTTAGTGAATTTTTTTCTTTTGCGTTTTGGATAGAGTACCAACTTTTTTTTTTATATATATATTTCAATAGTAATACCGATTTTTATTTATGCAGGGAATTACACATCACGATAATACACGATCCGGAAGGCGCGTGTGCTTTGATAAAGCTGGCACCCGACCCGTACTTCTTGAACATCCAGAACGATTACTGGCAAACACCGTTGCATCTGGCGGTGCTGACGGAACAGCCGGTGATAGTCAGAAATCTGATAGTGGCCGGCGCAGATCCGACCGTGAGAAATTACAGCGGAAACACAGCTCTTCACCTGGCCTGCATGAGAGGGGATCTCTTGTGCACCACAGCTCTCACGGAATCATTGACTCCGAGAGAAAGGAGAGACGCTCTCAGCAAACATGAAAAGAGAGTGCCCGCCTTACCTCAGAATTTGGAGCAAATTAACTATGTTGGTAAGTGTACTCACGACAGACATTGGCACAATTTTTTTTGTTTTTCGAAGAAAATAAAGAAGTGAGAAAAGAAAGACAAGCGCACAAACTGAAGAAACATTTGATAGGAATTACGAAGACGGAGAGAACGGTAGCGGAGTTGAAGAGTTTATTAAATTTTCGCACGGGCAAGACGCGGATGTTCGCGCGAACAATTAAAAATTTAATGATTTATTTGTAGAGACAAATTCACATTGATACGTTATTAAGAAGCTGCATGTAATGGTGGTTAATTGGGCGTAACATTTAATGCGAGAAAAGACGATCCGCGTCCGCGTGACGAAGAAACGCAAAAGACGTGTGTGTGGAAAATCCTAAATGCTTTTACCGCGAGACCGAGCGCGTGAAAATATGCGGATTTTTCATAATTTTATCAAGACGATCACATTGTTTTACGTTCGAGAGAATTTCGCTTGTCTCAGACGCGTGAGAATATATTTTTTTATAAAAAAAAAAACAAAAATCCACACATGCGATTTTATACTCAATGATCGACGTGCCGTTTTTTTAAAAAACCGCAATAGCTATTGTATACTCGGTGCAGACGAAATTAATGACGTAGCGTATTTTGGTAAATCCTCTTGAAACCGCGGAAATATGTACTTATATTCGTGAAAGCACCGAGACCTCAGCTTTATCTGTGAATTTTCGTCGTAACGCAGGGATTTTCCAGCGAGTGCTTGCGCACCTCTTGTATTCGTTATCGTGAATGATTTGCATTATTATCGACGTGAACAAAAAGTCTCGGAACGAGAACGAATTCAAGAAAATAGTTGTCCATCCTCGATATTTGGCTTAATCACCGCTTTTTATCGCGGTATTATCATGTAAATTGAATCATTTTCGTAATCAACATTTATACAAAAGCATTACATATGGAAACAAATTAATTACATATCGGCTGCGCAAGACTTCATTATCTGTATGTCTCGTTTTTGTGTGATTAGTGTTTCTAATTAATTTTTTCTGTACAATAAATTGTTTCCGACTTAATTGATCCCTCGATAAATAATGTCAGCTCTCTCTCTTCGTAGACCGTAATATTTCTATTCCGTTTTCTTCTGAGAAACTGTATACACCCGTAAGTGGCGAAGGTGCAAACGCGTCTTTAAACACGTTTCGGAGAAATTTAGCTTTCTGAATACAACTCTCTCGCCCGACCGCGGTTAGTTTAGTCAGGAGACTTTCCCATTGTTGGACTTCCTTCCCCTCTCTTTCCATTTTCGTATTAGGGGTTTTTCCCAAATAGCGGTATTTCCAATTCTTGAATCTCCTTGTTAAAAAAAAAAAAAAAACCCATGGAAATTTCACGCGGAGAAACTTCGGAATTGAACAAAAGCTCTGAGATGGCGATAAGAAACGTCGCAATATAATCAGAAAGCTTGACGTTTTGAAAATTTATTGCATAATATTGCGCGCGTGTATTGCTTTTTTAAACAAAAATATTGTCATAAATCGAAAAACGCGATATTATTTATGACAATTACAATCATTCAACTGTGGAGTTCGCGAAGACTACTTCTACTTTCCCTTGTTGGATGTAAATAGCCATCTTTCTTTTAAAGGCAACGGAAACAGCGCGCGTATGTGGGAGGAAAAAGAAAGTCAACGGAAAAACGTTTCGAATGTGAAGAGAAATTTATTCTCGCGAAACTTTTTCTAAAAGTCTTGGAAATCCCATGTATAGCGTCATCAGGGCGCTATTCTATTGCAAGCTAGCAAGATAATGTGTAACGGCGTGCGTGCACGTGCAGAATGTGGCGTAACCGATTATTCCGGATCGGTCACAATAGGTCACCCGAATCAATTTGAATTTGTGAAGACAAAGTCGCGCGTGCAAAGTCGACGACCGATAATTTCGTTCGGTTAACTCGCGCTTTTGCACAGTTTCGTCTGAATTTCCGTCGCAACCAAGCATCAATAATTAATTCCGATCGAGAAGAATTACTGGATTTTATTCGACGTAATTGCACCCGAGACTCACTAGTATTTTCCTCTCGAATGTTTTTCACTGTTCAAGTGATGTAAACACATAACGCACACTCGAGATAACATCGCTCGAATTCTAAAAGAAAAACAATTTCCAAACCTCAGATCTCAAGTTGAGTAGTCGAATGAACTTACGCGCGATTTGCAAATCAAATAATAATTATTAAACTGGAACGCGCGTGTGTACGTTTTTTTTTTTTTTGTCAATTCCCTTTTAAATTTAAACGTATCTATGACACGACAACCATGACGTGTAGAATCATTTTTTCGACGAAAGCATTTTCTTCGATAAGTGGCACAAATTTTGCATGCACGCGATGGTATTCGGGCGTGTGTGTGTGTGTGTGCGTGCACGCGCGTTACATCACGCGGCGCGTCGCGACGAAGAAAACGCGAGCAGATGTGTCTTTGATATTTAAAAATACCCGTGGAACTATTTGCATGCTGCTCGATATTCTCGCTTCGCCTCGGTCGGGAAACCCCACAGCGGCGTCGACGTCGATAATTTTCGTCGTAACTTTTGCCCTTTAAAAAAAAAAAAAAAAAAAAAGAAAAAGAAAAATAAGATCGATCCTCCTTTGTGATCGATCGTATAATCGCGCGTTTCCACTATCAGATGTTCCGTAAACGCGAGGGAATTGAATAGTCCTTTACGTCACGCACGTTACGGCGTGCAATCTCTTTAAAAGGAGCGTTAAACTAAGTCAGCAATTTGTTCACGGTGACGACTTCACATAAAAAATACGGTAAATAATTGAATTGTATGTTCTGTCAATGTCACTGCGCAATCGATAGCAAGCGCGATAAAAAAAAAAAAAAAAAAACCGACAATTGTTGCGTGACTACAACCGAGTTGCCGATATATTTGGGCGGCAACTTGTTTGATTCAAATAGCGAGATAATATTTCGGTGTAGCGAAAAGATGTAGTGACATCTAATCGGTATTGATGTACTTGAGTGGCTACGACGTTATGTTGTTAAATTCCGCCGATGTGACTGTAACACGGCGCGGTTAATTTTAGCACGCGCTTTGATCGGCGCGGGCCTAGTTTGGACCGCGGGACGCCAGCTAAATCTCCACCAACAATGATTCACTGCGTCTTCCTAGTTCTATCTATACTTCGCGACACATGTGACTTCGTCTTGTCACTTTGATGTGCGTACGCACATTTGATTCTATCGTGAGAGATGACGGAAAATCTAAAAAATCGGACTCAAATCGGCAATCGTCCAGCCGTTTGACATCGAACCTGGTCATATACGTCTTGAAACATATGTAATTGTCAAATGAATGGATGCGGAGATTGATTGATCTATTCATTGAGTAATTTTCACTCGACGAAGTTTACAGTCGCGTCTATATACAGTAAAATTTGCAACGTACTCACCGTGTACTGTGTTTTCTTTACAATTATTTCAAATTGATAAGATAAATCGCGAAAACAAACACGTTGTTATCATTGTACCTGTGATATCCTCATTGTATAATTCAATATTTTTTGACTTCAGGTCAGACCTGCTTGCACCTGGCTGCTCTGAACGGTCATGTGCCCGTGGTGCGTCACCTGCTGCGTCTCGGCGCGAATCTCGAGGAACGCGAGTATCTGGCGGGCAGAACGGCTCTTCATCTCGCGATAGAAAAGAAACAGTGGCCGGTGGTCACCTTCTTGCTGAAGGAGTGCTCGCCGTGTTTGGAAACACAAACGTACGCCGGTTGCACGGCCTATCAGCTGGCCGTGTCCATGAAGTTGTGGCAACTGGCCAAAGAGCTGGAACAGTTGGGCGCGAAACCGAAGCTGCCGCGAAAATCAGTTTGGGATTCCGATATCGGTTCTGAGGAAAGTTCCGAGATCAGCAGCGACGACAGCGACGAGGACGATTATAACGATTAAACGCTATATTATAACGCTGCGACAAAAGATGCGAGAAGAATAACAATGAAGATTTTTATATCCACCGAAAGTTTGTATCCAATGAAAAAAAGAAAGAAATTTTATATTCGATACACACAACACGTTATGCGCAACGTTGCGATATTTTAAGTAATTGTGCGATGTATGTTCTGAGCTAACACATATTTCTGTTTGAACGATAAACAAACAACAAAGGTACGTGGAGCTCTCTGGAAACGAATTGACACACGATTAACGAACATTCGATTAACGAACGAAGCAACGACACGTATGGGACACAGGCCAATCAATTCGAATTATCCGAATTAATAATCCGAGATAGCTGCATGACATTGAATCGACGGCGCCGAAAGAGAAGTGTGATGAATATACTCATACGAGAAAATGAAAAAATAATTGCACATGTCGAATCGCGATAAATCGCGCTGTAAATAGAGAAAAAAATAGGGTCAATTCACATTCGACGGATGAAAGTACGACCGGGAGGAATAAAAAGAAGAGTTTTTTTTTTTTGTTGCTATCAATAGACCGTAAGATGGGGATTCAATAATTTCACTTGGAAATACACGTACACACACATATATACACACACGTACACATCCGTATAACAAGTTAATTGAACTCACGTTCTTATAACGTACGACTTTCTGCTGTATATTTTATGACTTCATTATATGACGTTCTAAGTTAAGTCAATGGGATAAATAATATAGCAACGTGTAGAAACACATACACATGCGACATATAGAATGTGTATATATATTTTAATGTAAAAGAAAAAAAGGTCCAAAAGAACGATTATGAATAAACGTCGATGGACATTATAATCGAATCAGTGTTCATTTAATAAGTAAGTAGTGTGCTCTCTTCGGCGCACAATAACCCCTCTCTCTCTCTTCGTGTACATAATCATCTTTCTCTATATACGTTATATTATTATTATTATTATTATTATTATTATCGTTATTATATTAATATCAACCATAATATATATATACATACAATGACGTCGATATCATATTATTGTTACATTCGTAAATGTTGAAAAAACTATTTTTAATAAAAAACGAAATATTGTAAAATCCCAGCGATGTTTTTTTATTTCTGTTTTCCTCCTCGATCCACCTTTTCGACGTTAAATTTACGACGCAAAAACTTCTATACGGAGCTAATACCGCGCTCGGAGGTGGGTCAACATATTCTCACGAGGAAATCTGGAAATTCCCGCGTTTCGCAATCGCGCGAGATATAAGTTTAAAGGAAAGAAACGTCTTTCGGGATGTATTGTTTGAAATCTTTTTCTGTGTCGTAAAAATAATTAAAATACATACAAAAAGTAATAGAGATAATTTGTATTTGTCTTTGATATGTTCGCGAGCTTATCGCAAAGTGTTATAAAACACATGTATATTTTTGATAAACTATCAATATATATTTCTTTTTGCTTTTGAAAAGTTTTATGTACATATGTACATCTCTGTTAATGAAAAAAATTAATACCTAGAAAAGATACGAGGAAAGACGTAACGGGGTTTTTGAGAGCGTAAGACGCGAATGAAGTGGCGCGCGGCTAAATTGAAACGGCGACGGTAAAAATGTAGAGCAAGGACCGAGCCGGTCGTTATTTTGAGTCTCGTGTAATGGTCTAGGCATTCCAAGAAGCTCTCTCCGGACTTATTCCTTTTTCAGGGAGTTTGATACGGCGGAAGAGAGACAAGAAGAAAGTCCGCGCGCGAGTTTTGGGATATATTTGGATATCGCAGAAACTCTACGTGCGTTCGCGCTCGCGACGATTTTCGTCTGAAAGTGTTCTCCAACACGTAAGCGCGCGAATAATTTATTAGTCGCGATGTCAAGCCGTGAAGGCGCGAAAAAAAACCCAAGTAAGACTTTTAAAACAATAAGCGAATTGACCGATCACAGGCAAAACTTGAAGAAAACGTTTCAGATATTCTTTACATTGCTCATCTGTGATTGGCGTATTCGCTGCGTATTTGCTGCTTAAAATTGTCGAGTATTTTCGCGATCTTTCTCTCGAGGAAGACGCGAAATTCTTCGCCTCTCTTAAAAACTCCGTATTAGATTACATGGGAAATTGTGACTCGGACATTAAAGCGCATTCGGGAATAAAACGTTATAAAATATTTGAGATATTCATTCATGCCCGTGCGGCAAGGTTTTAGCGATATAACATTAATATTTCGGAAAACTATAATTTTTTAATTTTATTACACTATCAGCAGAGTTATTATAAGTCTGAGCTAAAGATATGTTTTTTTTTATTAAATAAAGAATATATTTTAATGGATTTACAGAGAGATATGTGGTTTTCATTCTATTAAGGATATAATATATAGATAACATTTTTTATCTAATCATATTTTATATTAGCTTTTTTAATGCATTTTTAGATATAAATACATTTGATTGTTACACATGGACACATTATTTTTTTAAAGAATATTTTGGTAATTCAGAAATTTTCAACTATTAAAATATTTCGCTCCATATAGTATTTTTTAAAAAGCCTTACACATATAATGTTTATACATATAAGCTTATATGTACAACGTTTTTTTATACCTGCCTTATACTTTCATTCCAACTTACGTCTAAAATGTTACGTCCAATGCGCATATTGACAAACCAATTCACACCGGCGCCAGTTTCATTCTATTTCTTTCTACTTGACCGCGTTACTCAAATGAATATACACATAGATTTCATCGATGATTTATGCTGATGATGAACGTAACTTTCGAAATATGCTAGAACGTTGTGTACATATATATATATATATTTGCCTATAAAACATACTATATATAATTTGCATATAAAACTGCGCGCGTAAACTTATGTCACACACACATGTGGATACCAATCGTAGATAGTTTGTTAAGTATTTGGCCGATAAATGGCGAGGGGTCGCTACATGTCCGTTTCTAGAGCCTTCCGAAGCTGCGCCGGCATGCACATCGGGAGAATTCTGTGAACATTGCGAGCATCACGAGCGAACAATTCGTACGAGTCATCATTACGTTTGTAATCTTTTACACGCGGAAAGCAAAAGGAGAGGATATATATTGACGAGATAGATTTCTGACGTCCGGAATGAGTGAGCAGGTGAGTTATCAGTGTCGGCAGCTGCGATTTTTTTACGCGCGCGCGATTGCAACGATGCCGGAGAAGCGCAGGCGACGCGGTCTCGTGCACGTTGCGTTTTTCTAGAACATCCTCGCTCTTCAGCGAGCGCGTGCAATCGCGTCCCATCCGATTCTCGTCCGAGAGAACGTGTTACATTCTGATTTATTCAAATTTTTTCTCACCGATGCGGATAGACCGATTGTACGTTTATGAGACGAGAATTTAATAATTTTTAGATCTGACGAAAATGCGAAGTAACCTCTGATTTATTATTCAATTTGCGGATTTTTGTCAGAGAATATTAAAGGCGGTTTTTTTTTTTTTTTTTTCAATGATATCCGCGAGATATCGATGCTTGGTCATCAAAATATGTTTTTTCTTTGCAGGTGGCTTTATTGAAAGAGAAAGGGAATGTTGCTCTACAAGAGGGCAAGTTCGACGAAGCTATCACGTTTTACACCCAGGCAATCGAATTAGACAGCAGTAATCATGTTCTGTACAGCAATCGTTCGGCAGCGTATGCGAAATCTGGAAAATATCTACAGGCATTGGAAGATGCGGAGAAGACAGTCAGTTTGAAACCTGACTGGGGAAAAGGTTACTCGCGCAAGGGCAGCGCCCTAGCTTACTTGGGTAGATTTGACGAATCTGTCAAAGCTTATGAGAAAGGTTTGCAACACGATCCCAAAAATGAACAGCTCAAAAACGGCCTGGCTGATGTAAGAGCTCAAAAAACGGCGAGCTTGTCTAATCCCTTCAATTCACCAGATATTTTTATGAAATTAGCAAATGATCCCAGAACACAGAAATTTTTATCTGATCCCGATTACTTGAAATTACTGCAAGAATTGCGCACTAATCCTCAGAGTCTGGGCACCAGACTACAGGACACCAGGGTGCTTACTACTCTTAGCGTATTATTAGGAATGAGTGCCGATATGGAAGAGCCAATGGAGACAGAACCAATGAATCCACCGGAACCACCAAAACCCAAGCCAGAACCAAAACCGGAAAAGAAAGAAGAGGACAGTCTTCCACCAGAGAAAAGAAAAGCTTTAGAAGAGAAAAAGCTTGGTAACGATGCCTATAAAAAGAAGAATTTCGAGGAAGCTTTAAAACACTACAACACAGCTGTGGAATTGGACTCGACAGAAATTGTTTATCTGTTAAATATCGCGGCAGTGTACTTCGAACAGAAGGAGTACGAAAAATGTATCAGTCAATGTGAGAACGCTATCGAGGTTGGCAGAGAGAACAGAGCGGATTTCAAATTAATAGCCAAAGCATTAGCGAGAATTGGTCACGCCTATAAAAAGATGGAGAACTGGAAACAAGCTAAAATATATTACGAGAAGAGCATGTCGGAACACAGAACACCAGAAATTAAAACCTTACTCTCGGACATAGATAAGATAATTAGGGAACAGGAAAGAAAAGCTTACATCGATCCTGTCAAGGCGGAAGAGGAAAAGGAATTGGGAAATCAAAAATACAAAAGCGGCGATTATCCCGGAGCCATTAAGCACTATTCCGAAGCAATTCTTAGGAATCCGGATGAACCAAAATACTATAGCAACAGAGCGGCCTGTTACACCAAACTAACGGCGTTCGACTTAGGTTTGAAAGATTGCGAAAAGATCGTTGAGCTGGATCCGAAGTTCATCAAGGGATGGATCAGGAAAGGAAAGATTCTGCAAGCCATGCAACAACAAGGTAAAGCTTTGACAGCATACCAGAAAGCTGTGGAATTAGACCCACAGAACAGCGAAGCGTTAGAGGGCTATCGATCCTGCGCTGTATCTGCTAGTTCTAATCCCGAGGAAGTCAGGAAGAGAGCAATGGCTGATCCGGAAGTCCAGAGCATATTAAGAGATCCGGCAATGAGATTGATTTTAGAACAAATGCAAAGCGATCCGAGAGCGTTACAGGAGTAAGTAGAAACAATATTATTTTTCAGAGAAATGTAAAAGTTTGAATATATGTATAGAATATATAGACTTTTCTTTCACAAAAATGATTGATTCGTGATCAGACGTGAATAACAATAACTTTCTTTTTTTTTTTTACAGCCATTTAAAGAATCCCGATATAGCTGCAAAGTTGCAAAAGCTTTTGGAATCTGGTCTCATAGCTATCCATTGAAGACATAAAGAACAGTGCGTACAACATAATTGCAAGAAAAAAAATAACACTGCTGTATCACAAGTTCCTTTAATGTTAAGGAAATTCGCATTCGTGTATTGCAGATACCATAACCATATGGGATACTCTTATCATCGTATTGCTTTTTTTAAATAAAAAAAAAAAAATAAAAAAAAAACGAAAAAAATTGTATTCAGAAAGTCATTCGAAATAGAAGTTTATGTTGTACACATATGTATTTTTTCGCGAATACGGTGGCCTTTAGTGTCATTGACATTTTTGCATTAACGAGACTCGATACCAATGATCATACTGATACCTATATGTGAAGCTCTGTGTGAAAAAAAAAAAAAGGTGTAATTGTGGAGCTGTGAATTTTCTTGTGTACAATATTTACATAAAAGTAAAACACTCCAATGGGTAAGCCGTGAATATTGTACGATCTTCGAAGTTGATTAGTGTTACTTACGTTTTAAGAGAAATATCTAGAGAATTAGAGCATTTGATTGTTTAAACAATGTAGAGAGAATTCTACATAAAATTATTTCTGTATATGATGCACACACTTAATTCTTTAAATTAATCTTATGGTTCAGTTTTACTAGCATTAGATATATAATGAATAGTAATAAATGCAGTCAGACGAAAGGCAAGTAAATAATGTAAGAAGTACTTCGAGAAATAAACTTTTTTTTAAACCATAAAAATTTCCTACTTTAAAATACTTTTATTGTCCTTAACACCTCACCGTATATATTATACTTATTTTGAAAATTTACTTCTAAATGGAATTAAAGATTCCAGAGATTTTTTCTTAGATACAAATGTATTCTTGTACTTCTCTCACTCTCGTTTTTTTTTTTTTTTTTTTTTTATGAAGATCGTAGTGCAAAACAATGTTTATACAATTTAATTCCAATGATAGTTTGCAATGTGATCATTTAACTTTGCAACACTTAAGAAAAAAAGTCAAATCGACATTTTTCGTCGACGATACATTCAATACAATGATGAGTTTTTTGTCACATAAAAATTTTAAAAAATAAAAAGATACTGTCTGTTACCATGGATGCGTACATGATAAATAAAAAATATTTGATGTTTCAACCATGTGTTGTGTCATCCTCGACAAAATCTGCTGCTTCTTCTCGCGTGACACACTCGACATGCGACACTTTGTTTCTGAATTTTACTCCGTAGAATTTATTTGCGTGATGAAGTAATTCCGGTCTGTAAAGCAAACCTTTACTTTTTATTTTGTTTCATTAAAATAATTTGTTTTCAATATACAGTACAAAAACAAACTTTCAAAACTAATGTTGCGAGGCTAACTTGATTACATTACCTGAATGTCGTGGTGATAAACTGAGCATCTGAACTAAGCTCGTGGATCATATCTGCTACCGCTTTTCTGTGCTGTGCATCTAATGCCTGATCAATTTCATCGAACAGATAAAACGGCGCGGGATCGCACTTTTGAATCGCGAATATCAGTGCCAATGCTACGAGCGATTTTTGTCCGCCAGATAATTGATTCATCTCTCGCATTTCGGCTCTGTGCCCCGTGAACGACACTCTTATACCTAATTTATATAAACCGCAATATTAATTAAGATATAAAAAAAATACACTGTAGAGAATACTTGAATGAAGAAAAGTACGTATTTTCTTACCAACGCCAATAAACGTATCGGAATCGGACGGCTCTGCTGTTCCGTCGTCTCCTTCATCGCCATGTGCAGTTCTCATCACTAATTGTGCATGTCCCGAGGGAACAAGTTTTTTGAAAACTTCACTGAAATACTTGCTTACCTTAAACAAAAGAAAATACAAAACATGTGATAAATTAACACACAGGTACACGTTCTCCAACCACATCACGTTTTAAAATTTTTATTCAATATGGTTTGTTACATATTGCACATACCTGTTTGAATGTAAATTGTATCGCCTCACATTTGCGCTGTTCGAGCACTGACATAAGTTCTTTAATTTTCTCATCACCTCGGTCCAACTCTTCTTTTCGTTTCACCAATCTTTCTTTCTGATCACTGAAGGACATGAACTGATCCAACGCTTTTTTATTTACATGACTAGAAGCAAACACGATAATAGAGCATTATAACACAAGTGATTACTAATAACGTGTAATTATTAATTTTTACTATCGCTTCGTCGTCAATTTATTCGTACGTACCTATATTTTTTCAAATGATTGTTTGCTTTTTCCATTTCTTTGAAAAGTTGCTTCGTGGACATTGTGTTGAACTTGGCGTAAACTTCGTGACTAGGCAATGCACCCAGTTCTGTGATTTTCTGCGTGCATTCCACTATTTTCTGCTGCAAAATATTCACTTTGCTCGCTAATTTCTCCAAATCCTTTGCATCAGCCTCTATTTTCTCCTGTGCTTCTTTTTCTTTCACTTTCCATTTTTCAACTTCAGCGGATTCTGCTTTTTGCTAAATACGCACACGTAACGTAAGAATATAAATAAAGTATATAAAGTAAAAATTAAATTTTATTTGATGTGTGCACAATCTCGATTGAAACTCGATACCTTACCTTCTTCATAGCGTTAGTCACTTTTTCGTTCTGCGACCTGAAATCATCATTGACCTTGACCAATCTCTTTTCGATATCCGCCAACTGAGTTTTCGACGAATCGAGCTGTCTCTGCCGATCTTCAACTGATATTTCTTGCAAAGCTTGGACCAATTCGTCTTTTCTTCTCACCAAATTGTTTGTCAATAAATTCTCCAACTTATTCTTTTCTGCTTCCAATTGCATTCGCCTTGCAAATGCTTCTTTGTTTTCCTTTGTCAGACGTCGTATGTCATCATTCAAGGTATCAACCTATGAACAAGATGTTATAATAGTAAATTAAATCTCAATCTAAAAAAACTAAATATGACTTTAAAAAACTAATTGAATTAAAAATTGTTTTGCGCGCACCTGAAGCTGATCGGCAACGGATAATTGCGCCATGAGTTCTTGATTTAGTTCGCTTTCCAAGCCGTCTTTAGTCGCACGCATTGCTTCTAAACTTGATGTGCACTGCGCAAGACTGCGCTCTTTCGGTGTTCGACATCTCTCTATCGCGCTCAACTCTTCTTTCATAATACGTATCTCCGCTTTCATTTTGTCATATATATCTCTGTTGTGTAAATAATAAATTGCTAATTATTACAGTTCTTCCCATACTCCCATAGTTGAAATTAATACAATTTCTGCACAACTATTTCAAACAAATAATTTTACCTCTTAAATTTACACACGTTTATCGAAACTTTAAAATGTATAAATTAAAAACTCAACGTCTCTTTTAATTACTCACTTAGCTTTGCTATTCCTCGTTTCGGTTCTCTGCATTTCGCTGACGTAAGAACTGATGTTCTGATCCGCTTTTCTGATTTCCTCTTTAAGTGTCGTTAATTGTGATTCGAGCGTAGAAATCTGGGACATTAATTCCGATCTTGTTTTCTGTATCTCAAGCCTCGATCTAAGGGTATTGAAGTATCCGCCAGTTAAGGAGCCCTTCGATGAAACCTGATCGCCTTCTAAAGTAACGCAATCTAAACCGGAATCTCGCGCCAAAGTTGTCGCCGCCTCCAAATTTCGACAGATTAAAGTTTTGCCAAATATGTATCTACATTAATGAAAAAATATAAAAACATTAACAATGACAACATATCTGTATATCTCGAAGAAAAATGTATAGAAAAGAGAAATAACGATTGCGTATTTCCATTTAATTTTTTTTTTTAATACCTTAATGCTTTGTCAAATTTAGGATCGTAATTCAACTTGGATATCATGGGTATAGCGTCGGAGGTCTGCGGGTAGTCGATATCCTTCACATGAAGTCTGTTCAAAGGCATAAAAGTCACTTCTCCCGGTAGCTGTTGATTGTTCATCTCTTTCAAAATTTTTGTGCCAAACTTGTCGGTTTCTACGATGTGGTGAAACAATCGGTTCCCGGCGGTGACTTCGACGGCCATGTAAACGCTTTTGTCGCAGTTGAAATTCTCGATTACAGGCCCATAGTAACTGCCTACTTCGTGAGCCATATCTTTGCGCGTACTTAAAAAAAAAAAAAAATAGAAATATATATAAGATCTCAGTAAAAATGAAGTGTCAACAATTTCTTGCCAAAGTGATTTGCACAATAAATGTGATAAAAAATAACTCTTACCGGAAAGTATCTAGCACTTTGCGTACACTGTCCCTGCCGTTCAAAATAGGTTTGCCGGCCATGGACCTCAGACTCTGATCAGCTTTCGCTAAATCCTCTTTCAAACCAGACAAATTTAGTTGTAGTACACTCTCTTGACGATATCTACAATGTGATTGCATTCTTTTTTGTGACTTTCTATCGCAAAGTAACGCGTTCGAGATATTAATTTCATGGATTAAACGTACTGTTCTTTTCGGGTTGCCTGACACTGATCCTTCGCTTTCGTGAGTTCGTAATACTGTTTGTTGTGATCGTCTATCGATGCACGTTGTCGTTCCATTTCACGCGTGTGCTCTCCTATTTTCTTCTCCAGAGCAACTTGTTTCTCCGCATCGCGCTTTAAATCCTCACTGATTTTTCTCTGATGCTCCTCTTTATCTTTTATCTGTTTGGTAAGCTGTTTCAGTTCGTTTTGAATCCATTTGTCTCTTTCATCCTGTAACAAACAATAATAATTTTACTATATCAGAACAAATTAAAAAACAAACGTCAAATTATATATATATATTGAACAATTATAAAATATAATATTTATTTCCTTTTTCGTTTTTTTTTTACCTTGGAAGTAAATTGACTGCCACGGCCTTGTTTAGCATACAATTCTTTACGTTTCTGTTCTTTTAATTGCAATTCCCGTGTACACTCTTCCTCAACGCGTTTCATTCGTTCATACTGCAGAACAAAGTTTTTATTTCAATAACTATATCTGTACTGTGTCTGCAACTATAATACTGAATACTAGTTTTTACCTCTGGTTTAAGAGATTTTAATTCATCATCCTTAAGAGCGATATTGGTTTTCAATCTATCCAACTCTTGTTGAGCGCGTTTCTTGCTATCGTTGTCGCCCTTCACTTCTTCCAGCAAATCATTTATTATTAAAGTCAATTTGGTTTTTTCCTTTAACAACTGCTGTTGTTCCGTACTAAGGAATTAACACAAACGCGTTTAGACAAACACTTCTCAATATAAATTTTTCTTTGTAGTTTTACTTTACTAAAAAAAACTATACAATAATCTTTATATGCAAAATATTACCTGAGCGTGTCCCTTTCATCCTTGGCAGTTTGTACTTCTTTCTTCGCTTCTTTTAATCTCTTCGTTGCCGCGCGTACCATCTCCTGTGCAGTTTTCGCTTCCGCTCCTAGTCTCGCCTGTTCCGCTCCGCTGTTAGCTCTGGACGCCTCGAGTTCTTCCAGTTTCCTCTTGTTTTCTTTGAGATCGCGTTCGTGAATCGTATATTCTAAACAACGGCGCTGTTTGTCCCAACGTTGATATTCCTTTAGCTCTTCCTTTTCCTCCTCGAGTGTTTTTAAACGCTCCTCTACAATAATAACAATATTACAGCACTGCAGTTATTTATTTATTTTTTTTTTCGTACTTTTCCGTATGTTCCATCTTATTTCGAATTCCACTCACCTATTGTACGCAAGAAATCCTCGATTTTCTCTAGCTTTCCTTCTGTTTCCTTCAATATGGACTTGGACTCTTCTCTTCTGTCATCATACACTCTAGTGCCTGCTACTTCTCTTAACAATTTCAATCTATGTGAATCAGGTGCTGTTGCCATTTGATTTATCTGCAAAAAATGAGAGAAAATATACATGTACTATATACATGTATGCTGTGCATAAATACAAATACAGTGTATCCACAAACCTTTCCTTGTTTTACAATATAGTATGGATTGGATCTAGAAAATCCAGCTGATTCCAATAAATTCATCACATCGTTCCTTGTCACTATTTTCTTGTTGAGGAAGTATTGATCCTTTTTGGAACCAATAACACGTCTCAAATACACTTCATCTTTATCAATCTGTGAAAACAAAAAGATGTTTACATGCAATAAATATAACAACAAATATTTCAATAACGTCCTTCGTAGCATCAAGATGCATTATTCTTACCGGTAATCTGCCGTCGGAATTATCAAATATGATCTCCACATGAGCGGATATAACTCGCGGACCTGTACCCTCGTGCAGAAGCGCCTGCCTCTGCTCGGGTCTGAGATGTGAGAATTCATCGCTCAAGACAAATTGAATCGCATAGAAGAAGTTACTTTTTCCAGATCCGTTTCTCCCAACTTGTAAAAAAAAGATATTTAAATATAACACACAGTCTTATAACCTAGAAAATATTTTCTATACAAATTTTGACAAAATCTTCAGATACACACCTACTACATTGTGTCGTGGATCAAAGGGCTCAACAACAGTCTGTTCACGATAGGATTTAAATCCTTGAATAATCACCTGTTTTGACATAATTCGTAATGTAAATAATGGCGCGAACACATGTCGCAATGTTGTGACTCGATCATAATCATATATAAATGTCACGATAATGGTACTGATAATAACAATAATAATAATAATAATTTAACCGAGACGTCGGTGTTTTGAAAATTTGTCATTTTAAGTTACGATTTAACGGCTTTTGTGTACATTCAAACATCGAAACGTCGTGTGAAATGTCAATGGCGAGCGTTACGAGGAAGCGACGCGCACTGTGTTTGCGAGAAGTGCGTGATTTGTCACGAGAATTTATTTCATTAGCAATACCTGTTTAATGTACATGGTGAAATTGGAAGTTAAATAATCGTGCTCTCATTACTGTTGTCCGAAACCGTAACTCAGAAACCTATCTGTCTGGGACACACTCCGAAAGCGCTCAACCAGTTTCGTTGACACAACCCGAATTTAACACGCAACAATGTAGAGACCACACCGATACATGTTGCCGTGTCTGTGTATTATTCTAATGGTCGCGTTCAACGGAACAAGCTGCTTTTTGGCAAATCAAACCTGATTGGTTCCTACTTTTAGAACCGACTAATCAACGTTGAGCGTTGACAAGACGACAACTCAGCAATTGGTCTGGCGAACGCGGCCATTAGAAGTCTTTCCCGCGCATGAGTCGTTCGAAGTTTGATTTGAACCTATGATCACAAGTGTTGCCCGTGACCCGGCCCGTCCAATTTCGCGGAGGCTGCGAAACTAGAGATCCCGAGTTAAAACAGCTTCGAACTTAAAAATTTGTGTGTAAGGCTCGACATAGATGGTTTTTTTTTTTTTAAATTATATAGTACCGACCTGTAATTTATGCAAGTATCAATTGCTTCTCAACGCAAAAAACAAAAAAACTAACCGATATGATTGGTCAATTCTGCGAATTCCACGACCACTCACAGCATACGACCGTTGCAGATCCGACCCAAACTTCGACGAAAACGTCAAATTATTTGTTTATACAAACTAGCAACACACATGTACAGGATTTGTTTGTAATACGAATACAAAACTACGTTGCTTTTAGTTTACGTTCATGTGATCAAAAAAGGTGCTACGATGACGTCCAACAATTCGATAGCAGGAAAATGTTTGTTAATGTGTCCAGAAAAAGAACGGAAGATGTAAGTTTGTACAATATAAAAAAAAACAAAAATAGAAAGTATAACATTTTGACATATCTACGAGTAAACTAATTTTCACACTTTGTTTTCTGTCAATATTCAATTTTTGGTATTCAACTGGTATTTACACATTACAAAGTGAACACTTGCAATTGTAAAATATGAAGAAGTTACAGATTTATGTAGACATGTCTCATTTTTATTCATCTAGAAGAGAACGGCACGGTTTATTACATAAATATGAAATCGATGAACGAACAAAGAACGCAGCTAAGCCCAAGGCTGATCCTGCAAAACTTATAAAGGAGTTTACTCGTTCTAGTGTTGGCAGAGATATGACGGATCCTAATTTACTACGTCCACCAGGTGTATTATTATCCACCACTCGATACTTGTTCACCAAGTAATTGCATTTGTCTATTTCATTAAGTGTGAACATTATTATTGTATATTTGCTATATATCAAAAATAGCTCTTGTATGTAACATATATGTTATATGTAGCATACAATGACATTCCAGCATTTCCACAAAAACAGACTCAGACTGGGCATTTATATATGACTTTATATTTAATCGTTTGAGATCAATAAGACAAGACGCGGTGATTCAAAGAGTTGATACCGTCACTAGCATTCATCTCCTAGAACCAATGGTACGATTTCACACTTATGCCGCACAAAGGTACAGATTAAACAACAACATGTGTTTAATGTCTGTAAAATTTGAAAAATAAAACAAAAGATCTTTTTCTAGGCTGTGTGAAAAAAGCGAGTCAGAATTCAATGTAAACATAAACAAACTACATTTACTGGAATGCCTCACACAGTTGCTTCTTTTATATGATGACCAAAATTACAAGAATGCATCAGATAGCATGGAAATACACAAAACTCTTGAAAGCTTGACGTTAAACGATAATCGGTCAGAGATGGAAGCTTTATATATTCTTCTTAATATCGGAGATAAAGAAACTTTAACAAGAACCCTCACACTTCCGTCAGATTTGAAGTAAATCGCTATAGTAATATATTAAAGTTGTAGAAAGTATATTAATGAGATATAATTCACATTTAGTTGCATTTTGTCTGATAATTCTTGTGTTTTGTGGTTGACCAGAAATTCACCGATAATTCGATTGGCCACCAAAATATCTCTCGCTTGGTATCTGAGAAATTATGTTCGCGTTTCTCATTTAGTTCACTTGTTACCTCCAATACTGGCTTGTGCATTTTTCATTAATTTACAAAACTTTAAAAGGTATGTAGTATCTATTTAAATCATAAAAACATAATAAAACATAACAAAACATTTTTTTTTTTTCACTTTTTTAGAAGTGTTCTGCAAATCATGACTTCTGCTTATAACGTTCCTGCTAAAATGGCAACACGCGTAGGAGCAAGATTCCCGGGAACAAAACTACAAGAACTTTTGTTCTACAAAGCTAAGGAAAAAATTAAGGCGGATTGTATCTTATTTGGTTTGCAGTTTTACGAAACATCCAGTAGTTTTGATGTTTTATTTCAGAAATCACAGTTTAACAGCTTACAATTCGAGAAAACTGTGGTTGGTATAAAATTTAGAAATTAATATTTAATACTAAAATGCACAAGAAGTTTTTCTCATTTTTATCATCTTTTTTTTTTTTTTTGTTACAGGCCAATCCTGAGATGTATTATAACTCTGACGTGTTACATGGATTTTTACCAAAAATTCTTTTAGAATGTAGTTCTATTCAATCATAAACGTTGCTCAAACGTCTGTTATATTTTTTCACATATATATTACTGGTTGTTATATTAAAGTAAACTGAAGTTAAGTTTAGAGAGATGCGAGACTACAAACTTGTAAATATGATAACTCGTAAAAAGATATAAATATATATGCTTATCTAATTATAATTTATACTATCTCTATTGGGAATCACTAGACGAACTACTCGAGGAGTCTGTAGACATAACTTCTACATCTTCAGTTTCTTGTTTATGCGTATTCACAGCCACACTGCCTTGTCCAACGGACATGTGAATCTCTCCCGACGGATGCCAAGCGAATTGGTTCGATTGTGAAACAGGTGGTTCTGAAGTAGCAACGGGAAAAACACATTTCATAAATAGTCTACATGTTTTATTGATTAAATAAAGTGGTGACATGTAAACACGAGATATTTTACCTCCAGTGGGATGTCCTGCTCTGTGCAAATCGGAAGGTATACCTGGATGAGACCCAAGCAATTGTCCATTTAGAGGCAAATCGCTCAAACGTCCTAAATATCCTAATCTCATCTCAATATCTGCAAGATAAAGTTCATATTTTAAAGAGTTTACACATGTATAAAAGCCAAGAAAAGAATCTAGTTTTTAAATGCTTGTAGAAAACACACCTGTGGGATATGGTCTTCTAGGATCTCCCTGTTGCCAGGTTAACGGTGCGCAAATTGCATTGGTCGCACTTATTCTATGCGCATATTTAATAAGTTCTTCTGAAGGAACAGGTCTCTTATTAGCACGTGCTATAGACTGTAATTTTTGCTTTGCTTGATAAATTGCTGTAGCCAAAATCTGTTCTGCTTCTTTTAGCTGCCGTTGTAACTGTTGAATATCCTGATCCTGTCTCTCTACTTCAGCTTTTAGAGCTTCCATCTTCAAATTGATTTTAGCTTGGTCAGCAGCTCTCTTCAGAGTTGCCTTTAGTTCATTATCTTTAGCCACCAATAATTCGGTTAATTCAGCATGCTCAGCACTCGAAAGCTTAGAAGGCTTTTGAGCAATTGTATTTTCTATCATCTCTCTAAAAAGAAAACAATTATATGCACATAATCAATTGCACAAGTTTTTTGTTAAAAAAAAAAACTTAAAAAGGTGATCTCAACTTACTTTGCTATCAATTCAATGTCATCTATTAAAGATAAAAGAACTTCTTTTGTACTTCTGCTCGATGTCATTGCAATTGTTTGTTGTTATTTAAACTTGACAGATACGCGAATCCTCTTTTTTTTGGTGCCTTTATGTTGAATCCTTTTTTGTATATAAAACCAGAGAGAAGACTGAGAGCGGTCAGGCTCGTAAGAAAATGTGTCAATCGCTTTAATGCCCTGTAAGCCAGCGCAATGTCCATGGATGGTGCACATTGGCAACTACGTAGCCATATCCGCGAACGACTTATCGGTACGTACGTTATGTTCAAACGTGGACATGGTTCTATTTCGTGCTATGTGCACAAGTCCAAGTGTCAAGTTGAGGAAGATCGAGCAGAGCCGGCCGTCACTCATAGACATTGCGCTAACTTACAGGACATTAAAGCGATTACATATTCTCTTGGCTAGTCTTCTTTGTGACAAAACTATGGTTTATGCATATGTCAGTAAATTTTGGAGCGCAGTAGCCCCGACTCTCTGGCTGCGTTCCGATATTCACTGCCAGTAGAGAAAATCTATAGCATATGTGACGTAAAGTGTAGATTAGCAGTAAATATCGGAACGCAGACGCTATCATCACACTTGCGCATGTGCAGTTCATTTTTGTACACTGACCAACTGACTTGAACTTCAAAGCTGTCCGACAAAGAGTTACGCTATAGCGCGCTTATTGGCTACTCCTTTGTCTATTTGTATAAACCTGCTTGTTCTATGTATTCAAAATATAATGTGTATATTGTGTGTTGTATACTGTGGTTGTGTAGTTGACAAATCAGTGACAAATTTGAGATAAGCGCATCTTTGACGGATATTTTACCGTGTCTTATGACTGAAAGTTTTTCTGAAATACATCAAAACAACTCGGAACGTTACATCGCTTGACTGAAAATGACTTCTTCTGAGAATATGAGACGTTTTCGAAATCTGTTGGATCAATTATATCCTCCGCGTACACAGCACTCTACAGTGATTCCCGCCAATTCGATTTTCGGTATAGTTTGCGTTTCACGTTTGTTATGCATTTTTATAAAAATTCTTTTAACAACTTTCGTCCATGCAAGTTGTATATATATTTCAGATATGACTCCCAACGCCTTAAGAAGAGTGCAAAATGGATTCAACAGACTTCCTCCTGGTTCTGCCACACCACCGAGTCCTGATGAACTTGTTATACAAAAAAGAGGTCAACGTAAACCTATAGTGTGGTCGCCTGACCTTGACTCTCATAAACAAAACAGTCTGCTTAAGTATATTTCCTCAATTTATATACATATATATTTACAAGACAGTTAATTATATACATGTATAATAAAAAATTAATAAATTTGTTTTGTTTAATTGTAGCTTAAGCTCTAGAGATCGTACACCAGTAAAAAATTCAACAGAATCAGATACAACAATAAAAGATGCAGTGAAAAGAAGACTCTCTCTCACAGACATCCAAGAATCAGAGTTTTCTTCCTTGAAACATAAGAGAACATCGTTGCCGTCTTATATGTCATTGTGTACTGCAAACAAATCAAATGGACAATCTAATGACAATTTAGTAAACTACTTACGAAGTCTCAATCAAGAACAACTTGTTCAGTTGATCATGGAGCTGATACATGAGCAAGAAACTGGTGTATTGTGCAAGAATGAGAAATTCCGTGATATTATTTTGAAGAAAATAGTAACTCTAGATATTCAGCCATTAACACAGAAATTAATTGCTCTAAAACATCATATTTACATTGGTTTAACATCAGATTCAATACACCTTCCAATTAATGCATTTCAGGTTTGTATTATGGTTCTTTTTTTCTTAAACATCTGTGTTTTGTAAACACTTTTGAGAGAGATATTTTTCTTCTTTCAATTTCGTACAAGTATGAGTTTAAATCTTGTGTTTTGTGATTTATTTTTTTTAGAAAGCTTTACGCAGTCAGGGAATAATGTTGCAAGAATCTCAGTGTTGGGCCTCTTTGATGAACTATGTCTTAGAAGCATGGCGAGTCGTAGAAGAAGTAGAAAAGTGGGACCACAAAGCTCTCGGTTTCTTTACATTCAATTGCTCTAAAATCTTGTCATCATTTTGTATAAAAGCTTTAGAAAAAGGAAACTTCGAAACATCAGCTCTAGAAGTATACATTAAGAGGTATGGATAAAGCAATTGAGTTGAAATATTAATAAAACGGTTGATTTTTTTTTTTGTTACTTTTATAGCAAATTATTAGGGAAACGTCGCGATCTTTAATATTAATTATAAATTTCAGTCTCGAAAACATGGCCAGCAATTGCGACGTGTTTCAAGTTTGTCTACAAATGGCGAAAAGCGTTAAAAATAAGGCCTAAATGAGATGCTACATAATTGGTAAAATTTAAATTAATTATTTAATATGCAAACCAATCTATATGATAATTGAAGTACTATTAACATATTGTTAATTACTGTTATTATTGTATACGGGAGAGATCTGATATATTTAAATTATACCGGTGAGAAAAGAGTTTTAGAAAACTGAGTGGACCAGTGAGAACGCTGTTGAAATTTTAAAATGGCATTTTAGAGATGCCTTCTTTCGTCCTTATGACATTTTGTATTGTTTTGCGTGCGTATACACTTGACGTAAACATATATATGTTTACATTGTAGTTTGTTATATTTTTGTTTTTATCGAGATATTAGAGGTATCAAAACGGACACTTGCGTAACAGACAGCACACACATACGTGTGACATTTAAGTATCAAGTAACTAAAGAAAAGCCAATCCATTTGTTTCGGCATTATCATAAATTCAGATAAATTTATGATAATTGTAAGCTTTTTTTGATATCTGATAATCTGTTTATCGGCCATCGAGTTTGCCATATTAGCTATTAAAAATTACACGTGCCTTGATATTTATTTTAAGTCATTTTAAGCGTTTTAAATTATAGAGATTACTTTTAACTATATTATACGAATATCTAACACTGCATATGACTAACTTATTGATATAACTAAGTGTTTTAATTTAAAATATAAGTACGATTTAAATATCTCCTCATAATAAAAATATTTATTGATGTAATCGACGTAAGCAAGACAATGAGCAGTAGGTAGAACTAAAAAAAAAGCCGATGTTCATCGAAAGGATTTGTGTGAAATTCATATTTTTATATAGTCTTAATATTCATATGTACAATTCTTGTATGAGCTTGAACACAAACAGTATAAGCTTCTTGATTTATACTCGGAAGTACATTTTGTCTAGATATTTTACGAATTGTATAAAAGACAATAATTTTGACGTAGTAAAATTGTCTTTATACACGTTTTAATGTGAAACATGTTTTCTTTTGTATAAAACAAATTCAGTGATACAAAAAAAAATGTATTGAAAAAAATGTATACTTCCGATGTATATAATCAAGTAAATTAAGTCTTTATTGCGGTGAAAATAATTACATCGTCGAATATAATATACACAATATTTTTGTATCTTGCGAGAGTATTTTTTTACAATGTGTAATCGTATGTCATATTTATTTGTAAATTGTAGTTCCAGGAGGAAAGTGGGGGCTCTAACGCACATATTTATATTTTTTTATTAAAAACAATTTATTCGTCATATAATATATTGTATTTTCTTATATATATATATATAATATATTCATTATTACTTCTTTAAAGGCACATATTTCACTTTGCGAGCGGTCAGAAATCCTCTAAGCGGCTCGCGTTTTGCACACGTTAAACGCCTGTACATATCTATTACAAGAGCAAGCATGCGATGGTACTTAGAAAATTTCTGATAGCGGTACTCGAAAATCGATTGATTATCTTGTATGCCCATCTAAATATTACAACATGACCTTGTCAGGTATTCGTCGAATCGTTAGTACAATTAGGCGCAATCGTAACGTGTATACATATATATCATCATCGATAGTTTGTTCAGTATTTATACGTTTTCCCATATAATTGCACACTGTCGTTCGAAAACTATGTCGCAATCGTTTGTCGTGCGTATTGGCAAGATTTACGTTACGCGTCGTTCTAGGAACAGCTTCGTAGAATCGGATATCACAAACGAAATCCTCGACAATGTAGTTCCCGGCCAAAAACAAAAAAAAAAAAAAAAAAAAAAAAAAAAAAAACAATTATATATAATTTGTCCTCATCTAAACAAGAACATTTAGAGGAAGCAAATTATAAGCTAAAAAAGTTCGTACGGCTCACACAAATTGCAAGGTGATCCAGAATCGGTAAAAAAAAAGCGAGCACATGGCATTTGTGAAATTTCGAATCGACTACTTCTCGTGTGAAATCATCACACCTGAGAAATAATAAAAAAACTTAATTTTTGAGATTATTTGACGTTTCGTTATATTCCATTTTTTTTTTAACACACAACTTCTCGATACAACCAAATAAAACATTTGCTATATGTACAAAGGTTAAACAACAAAGTTACAAAAAAATAAAATAACAGAAGTAGAACATACTTTCCATTGGGCAACAAATATAAATGTTTCATTAATTATTTGCGTCTCTGAAGTTTTTGCTCGATTAAAGAAATCCTTGTTAGAAAAAAAAAAAACATTGTTATTGATCTTATTTTTACAAGAATCGAACGCTATGTGTACACTTTCGCCAATTGCAGGATAACTTGCATTCAATAAAAAGATTCTTTCCTCGCGAAAAACAGAGAGAAAGATAATCGTTATATATGAACAATGCATGTTGAATATATACACGCGTCCCTATATAAATGATTTAACAATTTACAAGTGTGTAAACGATACACAAAATATCTCACTAATTCTTAACTAAACTTTCAAACAGAAAGTCAAGTTGAGAAAGCGCACACACACACACACACACACAATTTCTGTGAATCGTGGCAACAAATATGATAAAATCGGATAAATATTGGCAAATATAGTTGTGCAATCTAGTAAAACATACCTTTTATATGAAAAATAGCGTGAAAAATAGAAGGAGAAGGAAGTCTCACTGGGAAGTTTGCACTCGTTGCAAGTGTTTCACTTACGCGTCATCACGAAGATGAGGTCTCGTTTACAATAACTTCTTATCGCGGGTCGTAGAACTCATTGGATTTGACCAATCGCATCGGTCAGTCCTGCGATTTCTACGACCGCAATTTGTGACTATTGCGGACGAGACCCAGATGATGTACCCACCACAGTTGCGCGATTGTTTATTTCGCGAATTGCGGCAAATCGGTAAATCAATTAAAATCCACGATCCTTGTTCTTTTCTTTCAGATAGTATAAAAAAGTATGTAAATCGCAATTAAAAGATTGCTACACTGTTTAAAAAAATCGAGTATAATCTCGCGAATCGATGTATATATATAATATATATATATATAATGTGTGTATCCGTTTCAGATGGCAATGAGATATCTTATTAAATAACATTACTAACGCGCCTATGTCTCGTATGATAACAATTAACAAGATAAAGCTGCATTTCGAATACTGTGGTAATCGTCGAGAATCCTGCCAACGCAAAACTGCCTTAATCAACTGCTTTCGCGGGCTGCACTCTGGGATATAACTGAAACATGCAACGCAACGTGCGGTTTGTCTTTATATACATCGTTTCTCTATAAAGTGAGACAAGATGTTCAATAAATACATTCATTAGGATAAAAATTTATTCGAGATGTGAGAAAAAAATATTTTTAATAAATTTGAACATTTGTAACTTATTTATGTAAGTTTTTGTAATTAAAATTCCGAAATATTATTTCACAAAGTTTGTTTCTTCAAGAAAGATTTATGATTCGTTAAAGATTTATTGCATATATAATGGTTTGTTAATTACCCCCAATAGATTTCGAGGTACGTAGCCTTCTTTGTGTCCGAGTTTGCTCCACCACCATTCGCGTTCGTTATCATCGCCCTTCCGTAGAACGATTAAAGAATCGCCGTTCTTTAACGAAAGCTCGTCAGCGTGTTGTGCCTCGTAATCGAAAACCGCGTAGACTTGACCGTTATTCATGATGCCCAATTTTTCTTGTACACCTATTACGAAAAGAAAAATGAACTGAATTAAATGAACTTGTGTGTTTCTATTTTTTAATCATCAATCGTTGCGATTATACTGACTGTACAAGTACTCCGAACATCCGTCAAAGCCTTCCTCATCTTCCTCGCACTTCTCCGCGGCGGTTTCGTGATCGGATAAAGTGCTGGCGAAGATACAGGCACCGTGTTCGACCAAAAATCTCACCATCGATAGATTATTGCAACTCGCGGCACAATGCAACGGTGTCCTGTAACAAAGAAAAATTGATCAATTAACTAATTTCTTCGGAAGTTAATTTTTCGATCTTTCATTCGTCGGAGTTTTCTATTAAACTTCTCTTTTAGCTGTGTACAAACAACTTGACTTTGAATTTACCATCCGTCGCTGTCTTGGGCGTTGACGTCACAGCCGAATTCCACCAGGAACTTGACGATTTCGAGGTGACCGGCGCAAATGGCGTTGTGCAGAGCAGTGATGCCCTCGTCGTTGGCGGAACTCGGATTGGCGACCTCTTTCGCGGTCTTCTTTACGAGTTCTAATTCGCCCTCGAGACTGGCATCGAGCAACAACGCCAGAGGATCGAACGACACTCGCCTGGACAAATTGACCTTACCTCCGCCGCTTCCAGTGCTCGACGATTTGAGATTTCCCTTCTTCCTCCTCATCACCTCCGATATCTTACCTCCGTCTACCACTTCCAATTCGCCACCGTTACCTCCGGTAAGCTCCGAATCGGTCTTCATTTTCGTGGGCTTGTCCTCGATGTTGATGACATTCAAAGCATCGATGATGTCCGCCTCCTCCAGTCTCTCGCCGTCACCGATATCCTCGCCGATGATGCTCTTACAATTATCCGTGCTGTCGACGGTTTGCTGTTGATGCTGTTGCTGCTGTTCGGTCTGCATTAAATCCGCCGGGATCTCATTCTCCGGGAACAGAAAGGCGGGGGGCATCTCAATTCGCCGATTTATCGATACGTGAACATTAGATTTGGCGTATCTCAGCTTAGGCTGTTCCGATATCGGTACCTTCTTCAAAGTCAACGGTCGGGCCTTAATGAGCTGATGATTCGTTAATTGTGTTTCGGTCGGAGATTCGGGCGGTTCCGATGTGGGAATCGGCGGTATATCTTCGTCCTTATCCGATCTGTGAGATTCGAAAAATTGAATGCCTCGATTGGCGTATTAATGAGATTGAGGGGTCGTTCAAATAGTGCGATTTAAAAAACGACAGTCAAGAAATCAACAGTCAGAATAAAAGCTATAAAAAACACTCAGAGAGATGTTGATGATAAATGAAAAATTGCGAAGAGTGAGAACCAAAGCGAAATTATGTCTCAGACTTGAGTTTATACCACGATCTGATCTAGATGTCGCTTAAATCTATCTATCAAGATCGACATTATCTGACAGACAGGTGTTACAAACGGCGCGTAATTGAGAATCGATTCGCGATTAATCGTGCGGGAAATCGTCGGTCGAGTCAGGCGAACGAACGCGCGAGCACGTTGACCGCGTGTTGCTGCTGCAACGTGTACTGATCGGAGAACTCGTGAACACTAATTGTAAGAGAAGAGCGCGCGGGCTCCGCGTCGTCTCCGCGACCACACGAAGCCGCGTTTCTATTTCGGTATCTATTATTCGAGACGGGCTTCGATTCACCAGCCAAATCGATCGCGAACTAATTAACATTTATAATTAACCCGGTAATCGTTTTGTCATTCCGCAGTCCCGAGTCCGCGCACGAGTCCCGATAAAAGTTCCCCGGCGCGACTTTTCGCTCCGCAAAGAAAAAAGCGATGAATATATTTTGATATTATTTACAGATTTGTGCTAAAAATCAAATTGAGTTCAACACAAATAAATTCACATTTTCAAATTCTCATTTAAAAATTACAAGTAAAAATGAAGTTTATTCGCACACATTTGTTTCTTTTTATTCTCATAAAAAATATAAAATTGTGAGAAAGAAAGAGAGAAGGAAACAAAATTTTAAATGTGTAAAAATCTTTTATTTCCACACACCGCGCAACATCTTTATTTCGAAATCGTGTACAAACCTGAGAGTCGAGTTGAGATTCACGTTTGATATCTTGCACTCGTTGATTCCCTCGGACAACGGTGCGTCGATTTTTTCGTGATGAGTCAATCTCGGCGGCGGATTCGGTTTGCTCGGTTTTGGCGGCAGCGCCGGTTTCGTTTTATCTTCTATTCGAGACTCGTTGAAATTCTTTCTTTCGCCATTGTCATTGGTTTTCGTTGTTTGTCTGCCGTCAAACTCGAACGGTCTGTCTGACGTTTTCACGGGAACCTCGAACTTAACCGCGTGATCTGCCACATGCTTTGCATTAGAATTCTGCTCGTACTTGGTTGATATCTCGAACTTGTTCTGACCGATCTCGTATTTGTTCGGTTCCGCTTTGTATTGACCAGCGTTCGAAGGATCGTGTTTGAACGTCGAATTGTGATCGTACTTGATCGACGATCTTCCCTCGTGCTGCTGTTGTTCGTGTTTACCGTACTGTTGCGAATTCTGCTGTTGCTCGTACTTGGCATTGTGCAAATGTTCGTGTTTCACTTGATTGTTTAGATCGTGCTTGTTGCTCTGTTGCTGAGATTCGTATTTGCTCGTGAGATTCTGATCGTATCTGATCTGTGATTGTTGTTGTTCATGCTTATTGCCGGGCGGTAACGCATGCTCGAACTTAACTCCCTGATCCTGACCCTTTCCCGAGGGTTCGAACTTAGGCTTCTGAGTGTTCAGAATTTGATTTTGATCCTGATTCTGCGTGAGTTCGTTAGGACTCGACACTTGCGACAACTGATTATATTTCTGGGACGAAGTGCCGAAGGTCGCCGACGCGGTAGCGGTGCTATGATGACCGGGGAGATTCGATGAACTTTGAACCTGATAGACAACCGCCGACGAAGGCGTGGGAATGCTCGTCGTCTGATTGGGATATTGTTGTTGTTGCTGAGCAGCGGGAAAACCGTGTCTGTAATTCGTCTCTTGGTTCCCGACGCTGGACTGCGTGGTCGCCGTTGTTGTTTGTTGCTGATTGTTGCCGATGTAGTTCTGTGTCGTGTTATTGTGTCCGCGGCCCAGCAGACTCAACGTTTGCGGCATCACCGGATGAATTTTCGTCGACGAAGTCTGATAGATCTGCGACTTGACGGAGAAACTCGGCGCCACGCTCGACACTGGTTTCTGATGACCTCCCGTGGTTTGTTGCAAATTTCGATGCGGATTCTGAGCGGGTTGTGCGATTGACGGAACAGTCACCCCGACGAGATTCGACGTCGTCGAAGAGTTACCGATACCGATTAGATTGTGCTGTTTCTGTTGAACGCCATTCTGATGTTGTTGTTGCAAATGTTGCTGCTGTTGCTGTGTCTGTTGTTGCTGATGAACCTGATGAAGACGAAGACCTTGCGAGAGATTGTCCGGACTGAAGCTGTGTGCGATACCGCTACCGATGAGATTATTGCTATTGTTGTTGCTATTGTTGGTATTATTGTTATTATTGTAGTTGCAATTTGATTGAATCGTCATGGGTTGATTGCCGAGATTTTGATTGTGCTGTTGCTGCTGCTGATTGCTTCCTAATAATTGAGATTGCCCTAAACATTCGGCGCTTGTTAAGGTCGATAATTAAAATTACCAATGCAAAAAAATTATTCAGCCGTTAATTTGCATTATTATTTTTTTTTTTTTTTATAAACAAGGATCGAGAGTTTATATATCTTTGTAATATTTTAAGATCTTCTGTAATATGTACAATATATGTAATAAAATAAAATAAATGCTTAACATCTAAATAGCTTTTTTAATTAGAAATCTTGATTAATACAAAATTTATTTTCAATTATTCTAAGATCTCGCAATAAAAATCGTAGATAAAGTGCTCACCCTGAATGTGCGATTGAGACTGGCTGTGAACGATTTGATGTCCGTATTGCTGAAAGGTCGGCCTCTGTCCCAACTGGGAGGCGCTCGCCGAGTGTTGAATCTTGTTTTTGTTCACGTCGTCCTCTATAGCTTTGAAGTTCACCGTGAACTTGGTGTTGTACGGCAGTGTCTGGTACTTGGGGTCGTTTTTGTTCAGATTGAAATCGTTGTCGTTCGGTATGTGCGAGTAAGGCTCGATCGCGGCGATGTTGCCGGCCGGTCGTAGTTTGCCCCCGCTGTTGAAGCTGTCGAGCTTCGTGTCCGAGAATCCCGTGTTGTTGGCACCGCCACCACCACTGCCACCGCCGTTACCACCGCCGCCACCGTTTCCGTTAGAACCCAGTTGCTGCGTCAGCCGTTGATTCAACGCTCGTTTGCGCTGAAGACGACTCTGGAGTTGAGCTATTCGCGCGTCTATCGACGCCATCTCGGCCTGTCGCTGCGCCAGAGCTTGTCGTTGCTGGGACACCACCTGGTTCTGTTGCTCGTTCATCTTGTTACGAAACTGCGCGTGAAAAAAAAAAAAAAAAAAAAAAAAAAACCACAAATTTGTACTCGTTTTTGAATTTTTTGACTACGTCTTTTCTAACATTTTTACCCTCGAAATTATTTTGCACGTGTGTAACTTTACGTCAATTCTGAACTCATTTTGTAAAAGTAACTGATGTATTAAAAACGTTTGCAATGTTTTGTAATTAGTACATGTAAAAGCAAATATATAGCCTGTGGCTAAAAGTATTGAACGGTTGGAAATTACACAAAAACAATATAATGGAATTCCCCGCCTCTCTCCCTCGACGTACTTTCGCAAACGGGGCCGTCTCTCTCGAGACGATAATCGATGGTGGCGAGCTTACCATAAGCTCCCTCCTGAGCTTTTCCAGCTCGGCACTGGCCGGGGTGACCAAGTGCCCATTGCTGGTAGCACCTGTGAGACCACTCCCGATACTTCCGGCGCTTCCACCACCGGCGGGGGCATTCTGACGGCCTCGAAGTTCTTCCAACTGTCGCGTTAGTTCCTCGACCTTAGCTACGGCCAGCGAGAGTTCCTTCTCTTTCTCGTTGAACAGAGCCCTGATGCAATCCAGATCGGAGGCTGCGTACAGAAAAACGAAATAGTTGCGGGAATAAAATATTAGAGAAAAAACGTCAAAGTTAATAAAAAAAACTAAATAAAAACATGTTTATAAAGCGGTGAGTATAAACAGAATCGTTGGGCGTGAAAAAAACACGTGTGTGTTGCGCAAACTATAACGGACTTTTGCTCTATATGAGATATTACACCGAAAAGAGCAAATAACACGGAAATACAGAAAGCGATGTCAGAAAAAAATGTTTTTTTAATAATATTTTTTGCGTGACCTTTGACATTCAAATATAAGCAAATTGAGCTATTCGGAATATGCGGATGATCCTCGCCAATGAACCTTCGCAAAAACACGGTAACGTCACCGTGAGCGACGACGATGTATTAAACCGGTCGCATTAATCATCGCCGGGTGACTTCCCCTATATGTACTTTCGCGGATTTCGTCAATATATCTCATCTCGAGCATTCGTGTCCCTCACAGAGAGGAAGAGAGACGGACCTCGTATCAGATTAGAAAGTTATTATACGTGCGCGATGGACCACTAAAGCAACCACATATTGCTACACGAAGCTCCATAATCTCTCGTATTGGCCGTACAGAGCGATCTGCTCTGACCTGGAATTCCATTATCGAATTCTGAATTGATACCTCCTTGCACTCGAGATACTATCCGCCATCCGTACAAGAACGCGCACGACATCCTTTATGGTCTTTCATTGCTTCCTGCCGTCCGCGCGATTCCGGCCGCGTAAATCAATTGCCGATATTGCGTGTCAACGTGATTTTAATTTATTATCGGGGTTCGATTTCTGTTTCCCCCCGTGTGCTGTATGTACAATATATCTGGTTTCCGGAAGATCCACTCGAACTTTGCCGAAATCGAAATGTTACAATTAGATACACACATCGTATATATGTATATACATCAGTTTATATCAGATATCTCAGTTCGGTTTTTGTTTCTTCTAATTCCTTGATAAAAATAACGCTTGAGATTTTGAGAATTATTTAACCGCCGATTCAATAAATAATTTTGCTTCGGGTAATTTTTCTCTTGCGCTCTTTGTATCGACCGCAAGTCCCTCAACCTGATCCTCCGGCGTGTCGATCGACATTTTTGCCAATTGGCACAGGTCGATCGACACGTGCCTAGCTACAATGAGCTTGACTGTTAACAAATAGATTGAAGCGCTCTGGGAACAAAAAGAAAAAACACAATACACGTCCAACAGTCTGTCACGCTATCGCGCTATAGAGAAAAACAATGGTTCTTTGTTTTATTTATTTATTTTTGTTTTTTATTCACAACGTTAATAGTATTTGTATCGATGCGAGTGTGTTGAAAGAGCATTTATTTGTTTGCTATTTTATTATAAAAACTTTGGCTTACGTTACCGAGTTTACGTATTTGCAGAAAGAGATTACGCGCGAGAGCAATTTTGTGTATAGTTTTTTCGGTGCGCGCGAAAGGATCAAACGTCAGGATCCGATCGATTTCTGCCGCGTAAGTTTAACTTCGTCCTGAAGTTGACTTTCATTTGGAACCAATTTCGCTAACATCGATTAACTTTAACTAACGGTCTCCAATTGTCTCCGAAGTAGAATATAAAAAGGAAATAGCGAAGTAGCTGAAGTACAATTAAAAATCACGAGATATTGGCGAGAAACTGACGTTAAACAAGAGCGATTAATATACAGCCAGTGTCTTAAAAGTTTTTCATCAATTAAAGTTGATTGAGGGTTTATAACTAATCAGCCGTCTTTGGTTTTGAGAGAAGAAAAAGTTCCGTCAATTGAAGTTAATTGAGGTTTTTTAACTTGTTATTCTTCTCTTAGAGAGAAAGAAGCGAAATTCGAGAATCACATTGAGTTAAACTTGATTTGTGTCGTAGAGCGCATTCAAACATAGAAATATAAAAAAAAAAAAAAAAAACGAAAAGAAAGGAAGGAACGAGAAGAGAATATAAGAGCTATAAAGTAAGAATTCCCGGAAATTTTCTAAAAGAGAGCGCATCTTATTACTGAAGATAAAGCAGGTTGAATAATAAAGAAATCCTGCCGCTTTACGGTCAGCCGGTTCACTCGGAGCGAAAACGCTCTCTCGACGGTGAAGTTGTTAAACGCGCGGTAGACTTTAAAACACGCACACACGTTTCACTATAGAAACGAGGAAAAATCCTGAGGAAAGTGCGGAGCTTTATTCGTATGAAAGCCAATCGTCGACTAGTGCCGACGAGAAGAGAAATCAAACGTACTGTCTCATTATGCATCCCGGCTGTCTATGTACACCTACGGGAGTCCGCAGAGCGAATATGTATATTCGTGAAAGTATCGAAGAGCGCAAAAAACATTTTAGGAGATGTGTTTCTCTCGAATTCGTTTCCCGACGAGAACGTCACGTTCCGTCGTATCAATCTGTTCAAAGGCAATTCCACAACCACCAAATCCTCTTCGAGAATTCTCCCGGAAACAAGCTTTCGTTTCGAGATTTTGTTTTCTTGAACTTTTTATTTTTATGAGAACTCGCGGATATCTCGCGCGATATATATGTACGCAAATGCATATGTTGCGACACATACAACAGAGATTTTCCGATTTATTTAAAATTAATTACTTTTCTCGGTTGAAAATATCGAGAGACAGATTGGCTATTAAAATAAATAAATAAATAAACAGAGAGCTATATATATTTATGATGTTCATTTTGTCACATATATCCGTATCTTTGATTTTTCAGCGCCACACTGCGAATTTCATTCGTTCTCATTAAAGTCTAATTAGGCGTACGAACATAATAAAGTGAAAATTGCGCGCGCTGTTTTCCTCACACCTCATTTGCGATGCAAATACGCGTATCGGGAAAATAAACGTATTGTTTCATAGAAAGGATAAAAGTAATACAAAATGTAAATGCGTATCCGAAATACACATACTCTCTTCCTCTCTCTCTCTCTCTCTCTCTCTCTCTCTCTAAAATAATAATAACCTCGCAACAAAAAATCGCCGCATTGTCCCGGAAAACAGCATCATTTTCGCGGTTTCCGGAAATTTATTTATTTTCAATCTCAACGCACTCCGCAATTCGTTCAGCGGTGCGCATTTTCCAAGGACTTTTTTTTTTTTTTTTTTTTAATGCGCTCTATACACAATCCGTCCGCTAAAAGTATCGACCTCCGCACACCCGCTGAAGAGGCAGGCGTCTATAACGCGTGTTTTCCATCGATCGACATCCCGCGCGTGCAATCGAACGCGCGTCCCGTTTTGCACGCGCGAAACAACGAACGTACACACGCACGCACGCACACATCCACGTGTCCGCGGGATAAAGCGCGACGCAATGCGCGGCGTTAAACAATAGATGCGTCCAACGTTGCGTCGTTATAAATGCACGGCAAATGACACGTCGCGTCGTCGTTGCATCGGAATTTCGCCCCGGCATTCACTCTCCAATAGCGCGATAATATTTAATTTCTCTCCACGTCACTCCCGCCCGTCCCTCTTCCCTCCCCACTTCTTTACAAACGAGAATGAATTACATGGAAATATTCATATGAGAACGGAGCCTTAAATGTTTCAAAAATTGTATCTGGAATCTGTCAAATTCCTGCAACGTTAGAAGTTTCGTGTTACGGGCATGTTGAATTTATTGCAACAGCAAAATTGTTTGTGTTCCACTTGTTTTATATATATATATATATATATATTTTTTTTTTTTTTCAAGTCCGCATTGTCCGGAATAAATTCGTGGAATATATTTGTTGCAATATGCAACAGACCTCGAAACATGTGATTTTGTCGGTCAGAATAATAAAACCTTTCTTTTTTTCCCATAAAAATGTAATATTCCGCATGATCATTGAGTTAACGAAAATAACATCTCTTGCGTTTCGTAAGTATAAAGTAAGACCGAGTGACACTGGCCATTTTGTCTCTCATCTCTCATCTTTTTCTCGATATACATACGCACATACATGTATATACATGTATATAAATATATACTGTTTTGTGATTCTAATAATTTCAGAATGATGACGCGGTTCGTTCTCCGGAAACGGGGAAGGTATGCAAAACTGATCAAATTTGCGAACATTCAAGTGCATACAAAATGCATCGTCAAACGATGAGAAAATGCGCTATGAAAATGCATATACACGGGCTTACCATACGTCAGAGAACTGTCCCGGGCTGAACGGGGAGAATTTCAATTTTTTATACTCTCTCTCCCCGTGTTATTTTATATACTGACACTCAAACTACGATTCAAAAATGTTCGATATCTACAGTAGTGTAGAGTCTTCGCATTGAAATACTAACGTTTTTTTTATTCGTGTACATTTCCGATTTTGTCCGAACTGAAACTCCATCAGTATTTGGGTTTCTATTTTTAATTCTTCTTCTGTTACAGAATATATGTATATATGTGCATATTTTTTTTTTGTAGACAACTAAGCGTCGAATGTTTAATTGAATTTTACAAGCCAACACCTCTCGTTGCGTAACAAGTTTTTTAAAATCCTTTTTCTGTTCGCGACAGAAAAGTGTCAAGTCCCTACAGTGTTCGTTCCCAACGCAAATGAAATGTATTTCATTTCTTTTCCTTGTAAAAGATGACGCAGAGAGTGCACAATACAGATCGCACTCGATGTGCAACACTATTTATAATATGACTGAAAATTTTTGTCCTTGACGAGAGCGTCCGGGATTGGGTCATTGAAAATTATGGCAAGCCCACGTACGCGTACAATACATAGTGTGTTCCGCTGGGTGTGGTCACACGTGTTGCGTGTCAGGGCCAATATCGTGCAACGTGTGTATTACATGTAAAAGGTAAAAGGGAGCGTCGCGCGCCTGTTTCGATCAGTGCGCGCCGCGAATTCCGCGATGTGACGAGAAAAAAAAAAAAAAAAAAAAATCCGCTCGAACGAACAAGAATTGATGTTCGCAACGAACGAGACGTTAAACAGATATAAAAATAGATACGAAAAAAAACGATAACAGAACAAATCACGCGCGAGCAAACAGATTACTAGTTGATTCCAATGATCACGATTGTTATCACAGATATACATATAATTGATCGTCGGTATCAATGCGCAGCTTGTTCGACGAAATTGATATTTGTCCAAGCGAGGTCGATCGTCAGCAATTTCGCTCCGTTTGGTTTCCCAAGCGATTCCTTTTTTTTTTTTTATTTTTTTTTTTTTCAATTTCTTTTCTTTTTATTGCGAAATTGAATCGTCTCGGTTTTCTATATTAATATTTACTTTTTCGTATAAATAATTGCGGCGGAGAAATAAGAAAATAGCTCGATCTCTCTCGTATACATATATATAATGCACTCAATTACGATGATAAATATTAGAACGCGATGAAAGAGATCGCGTGGATTTTGCACGGCGAACGAATTAAGCACGTTAACGAATTAAGGAGTTTCCTCTACTCCCGCAGTTGTTCCTCGATGTTTCGAATATTTTGACGACGTTCATTTCGGAGAGAGAATGATTTATCGGCTCGCGGATCTCTGCCGACCACGGATCTGCGCGATTGCATCCGATAGTAAAAGCGGAGCGCGCGGTTGGCTCCGATCGGATCTTTTCAATTTATTTTCCGAAGTTGATTCTCGAACATGAACAGCCGGACATGCGAACCATCGGTTTGTATTTGGATTTCATTTATATACCGCTAAAGTATCCCCGAATATGGTCCATGTCTCATCGGTCGTGCTGTATATGGAAGATTAATCGTGCTTGCCGGTGTGAAGACAGATAAATCTCTCTTATCGCGTTTACCGCGAAAAACGAAGACAGATTCTCCCGTCCCGGGAGATCGTCGATTTGCGAAAATAAATTGGTCGCCTCTCGAACAACAAAAATTATCTTTTTTTTTTTTTTTACCCTCGTGCGTTTTTCCTTTCATCGCAATTTTTTAACATTCCATCGAAGCGTTTCAAAGAGAAATGGTCGGTTTTTTAGTCGAGCAATTTCGCGATAAATTAAAAGCGACGCTCTCGAGATATATACGATTGAAATAGATATGTAATTTCAGTTATTCGTTTTTATATTTTTATTATTATAGTGAGAGAGCTTCCGATTTTTCGCGTAATCGAATAATTCTCTTCTTTAGATTCTTCTTACTTGGTATTGCGTGATGTGAGAAAAACACGCTCTTGAAGCAACAACAAACACGCGAAAGATAATTAAGAAATCTAGCATTTCAGCTCACAAGCGCCTTTGTGCGTACGTTATTTTTTTTTGTGCCATTTTTCCACGTCAAAATGTATATTTAATGCATACGCGAATGTTGCGAACTCGCATAAATTTCGCAAAAACGTCCTGACGTTTGAAAAGCTCTGAATACCGGTTAACCGCATGCATCGCATAGCGAATTAGTTTGCTGCGTAGTCCAAGTCTGCCGGGAAATCCGCGTAGATGTAACGCTCGCGAAGTAGGGGAGTTTCCTTATTCAAGCCGGAAGATTTCTTGCCAAATCATTCGAGCTTGCACCGGCAAATTGCAACAAGTTTGGCTGGCGAAACTTTCCAAGACCCTTCGAAAGACAATGTAACACGGAAAAGGCGGCCGCGCGCATCGTGATTACAAATTGAAGGAAGTTAGACATCGTATAGCCTTCACAATATAAGGACATGATAAATTCTGTGCCGTTATTGGCAAAAGTTTCGCGGATTTTCGCCAAAAACCTGAAATATCGTTAGTTCAAAGATAACTTCATAAGCAACGAATCAATACGATCTTGTTTATTTGTTCACTTATTTTTTTAAGTCAAAAAGTTACACAAGTAAAACCTTTTATATTCTCTCCCTGCATTTTTCTCAACGTTTTCTGTAAAATAGAAAAAAAGCGAATCCTCTCATCTTCAAACTTGAATAAATTGCGTCAACATTTTATACTTTAAAATTTGTCTTGAAGTCTAAATGTAGAATATAATGCGGTTTTATTACATGATCTTCAGCTCGAATAATGTCCGGCACAGATGTATATAATAGGAACAAAATACCTACATCTCTTGTGTGTGAAAAAGAGACACGTTGTATAATAATAAACAAATATATATTTTTTTTTTATAAAAGAGAAGAAAAATCCAACCGTAAAAAATTCTTATTATATGTGAACAAAATGTTTGTCAAAATAAATAAACAACATTTGCGCAGTGTCGAAAATTGTATTATTTTCGCAATTGTGCATTTAGAGTTGACGTCAGAATACAGAGGGAGATCATTTTTCTGTACTTTCTGCTCTTGATGGGACATCTTTTTTCTCTTTCGTGTGCCAGACGCACATACATATACCGTGCATTCGTTTTATTAAACGACGTAACGCGACGGTCATATGCGGATCATTATAAATTTTTTTTTCTCCAGCCCGAGGTGCTCGAATAGAAATGACGCGCTTCGCCACTGTGTCAATTCGTTAAAGCATTTCTGTATAACGAAACGGTACAACGGCGTTTCGCTCTTTCGTTCGGAGAGCTATTATCGCGGCGGCATGAGTCTGTCACGTTGCAAACCGCAGCTATCGTTTTTCAGTACGCGCCATATAGATACCTAACGATCTGAACAATGTTCAATTAACAAGATATGTACATGCGAGCGTAGCCGTGCGTAGCTTTCGCAAATTGAACCATAGCGTGACGCGTGACGATATCGACACGTCGGATCGCCGCAAAAAGAGTACACGATACGTACACAAGCTTTAAAATTTAAAAGATTTACACAATAAATGTTTGAAAAATTTCAATTTGCAAATCGACAATTTCGACATTTTTTCCATCATTCCAATTAAAACTGTTTTGACGCGTATCTACGTCTGACTTTTAATATTAAAAATACAGCAAAAAAAAAAAGAAATATTTGTAAACAAACTAGTTTTTTTTTTCTATTTTATGTAAGCATCTTTTTTCAATTAATAAAGCGTTTCTTTCGTGCGGGAGAATTTTATTTTATTAACTCTCAATTTTTTCCAATTTTTATCTTTTTGTGAAGCACGAGAAAGAGCGAAATACGAAAGGGATGTTGTGAAAGACTTACTCAGTGTCGCATTGTTGACGCGCGACTGGTCCGTCTGCGATCTGAGTAATCGCAGTCGATTCAGCTTGCTCTGCTGTTGGTCCAGTTTGTGCCTCAATCTGGCGAGTCTGTCTTGCTGTGCTGGCTCCTGAAACGATAAACAATGCATGCGAATACGATTGTTGTACGGGAAGAATAAACAGATGATACGGCGAGTGAGAGCGAAGCAGTCAAAATCAAAAAGAACAAAACGGAAAGCAAAAACAAAATTATATCCGAGGTATTTTCGCAGGTCGAAAGACCTGATAAAAACAGACGAACTTAAACGAGTGTCTCTTATTCGCGAGAGAATTCACGTCATCCCGTAAAATTTGATAGAATTGCGAAGTGAGATTATGCGATTCTGGGAAATAGGTCCACCGGGAGGGATCACACACATTTGCCATTCTCGAGATCAAGGCTGTTTGCTCGTGAAGGTCATCGTAACGGTAACTACTTGCGGCATACATCGTCACCGGTTCCTTTCTGTGATCATTGAAGAGAGAACGACAACGAGCGCGACTACGAGCGGAGTTGATATGTAAAATACGATTCTATAAATCCAGTCGTTAAACTTGGTCAAAATATATATATATTGCGAATACGTATCGTTTGATACGCGCGCGAGATTGATATTTTCGAGATGTAATTTTCTCACGTCGACTATATGCGGTATTTTAACGTTTGATGCGAAATAGGTTCTCTGTGATTTTTCACGCGTAAATAAGAATGTCGGGAGATGGAACTCACCTGTGCGCCTCGAAGCACGGCTAAGCGGGCCTCTTTTTGCTCGAGGAGGCGCCTTTGCTGAGCGATTTCCCGCTGCTGCCTGGCCGCCATGCTTTCAAGCTCGCTGAGCACCAGCACAGCACCACCCCCGCCCACTGCTAACTGAAACAACAAGATTAAGCGCACCGTAAGCATCACGAATGTGTCGATGATGGCGTGTTAAAGGTAATGCTGCCAACGCATGAGAAACGCGCGAACGCAGGATATGTGGCGCGAGGATGAGTGGCGCCGATTTTTGGTAATTAATTTTGTCGGCGAAACACGTTCTTTTTCTTTTCAATCATCGCGATATCTCAGATGAATTGTTTTCGTAATGAAAATATAAACAAATAAATTTACTCCAAGTTTTTTATTTCTTATCCTGAAAAGTTTACACGCGCGTCGGGTTGAAGAAAATGAATTTTTTCCGGCATCTGTTTCATATCGAAAAAAAAAAAAAAAAAAACGGATTTGAACGGAGTCGAAAGATCGGAGCATCCGACGAGTGATTGACGGTACTTTCGTCCCGTTCATTTTTTATCGAGACCGATTTAAATACCATCCGTCTCTCTCGGCAATATTTATGTATCTGCTGAAACCAATATGTGCTAATGTGAAGTTTTTATTTGTGCGATGAACAAAAAACTGACGAGTCACAACATCGTCAACCTTGACAATCGCCTCTATCTGTGAAAAAAATCTATCGACCTTCGTCGATTAAGCATTTTGTCCCAGCGCATCTCATGCATGAGAAACATATAGTATTCTCGACGCAAGGTCCGTAGATATACGGATATACGTTTATAAATTTTAACCGTTGCGACAGAGCTGAAGTGTGTGCGAACTTGATGCATTGTTAAAAATCACTGAGCGTCTACTCTGGCAAGCTGTCGCACCAAACACACTACGTGCGACAATTAGCCAGCGTTTGACATTTCGCGTCTGAGTGATAAACTTATCCTTTAACGCAGCAGCGCGATATTATCGTCGCATATTACCTATGCGTCGTTTCGGATACTTATCAATCGCCCTTCGTAAGAAGGTTTTCCCTTTACACATCGTCGACCAATATGCTGATCGTTTTGCATGCGCAGCGCGTTCTCACATTACTCAGCGTATACGCAGCTTCAATTCCTTCACGCGAGCAGCTGGTGCCGCTCTGGGAAAAAAAGCGATCGAGAAAAAAAAAAAAACAATTTCTCGACCCCCTTCGAGAATTCACTGTACGACCTGGCGCGCGAATCTCGCGTATCACGAGAGAGCGAGAAAAAGAGAAAGAGAGAGCAGAGCGCCGAACCGAGTGAGAAATGTTCGCTGTGCGTCGATTTTTTGTTTTTTTTTGTTTCTTGTTTTTTGTTTTATCTCTCGTGCGTACCACCATCTGGGGAAGGACCGGCCTCGCGCGCCGCGCCGCCCGATATACCAGGTAGAATCCCAAGGTCGGCGTGTGGCCCTTCGAATTCCACCGCGACAAGGACTCCGCGTAGCCTTCGTACGTCAATGAAAGTGCGGACGACGGAACGAAGAGCGCGGCAGAATAAACACACGCGTGTGCGTCAAAATAAACGCGCGCGCAATATATATGCGAAAACGTTATTACATATTTCCTGGATCGGTCACTGCGGTTGGGACACGCTTCTCCAATATTCGTAAGCGGTCAGTTTTAATTTTTTTTCTTTTTTTTTTTGCTCGCGGCTTTGTTCTACTTTCCGATGTACAACTGATAGAAATGAAATTCGTTTGTGCGGAAAAAAGAATGCCGGTATTGGTGGTATTTTTACATTCAGAAATTGCCGCGAGGGGTACGCGCAGGTACCAAAGCAAAACTCGCACGTTTCCACTTTTCCGGTCTCTCCGTTTTTTCTCTTTTTCTTTCTGCGGCGAAAGATAAAAAGGATTCTGACACGTGAAGCTTTGGATAAAGAATTATCTTCTGTCTTTTCCTTGCTCGACAATTGAATTAGAAACATCGAGTGTGTACTTTTTCAGCCGTACGTTTTTATTCGGAAGCAAAACGATGGTGCCGCGATGAAGAAGCAGCACCAGCGCAATGAAATAGCGCACTTCTAAACTCGATATCGAAAAAAATAAAATCAATAAAAGATCGTGCTCCAGTTTCGCCGTATTTCTCGCAACATTGTTCGAGAGAGCTCGTAATCCTGTTCGCAAGTTCGAAAGTTCTGTTGCCTAACGCGCGCGCGCGCTTTGCTTTACGATGTCATTCAAGTGACCGCGCGCGCAAACGATAACGAGGAGCTGAATATACTCGCGACGAAAGTTCAGCAAGATATAGCGTGTTCGAGTACACTGACAACTTCAACGGACAATGTGTTATTGTTGAAGTTAATCTTCATCGTGCCAATTCGCCGCCACCGTCCGTCCGCGAGACCGTTTTTCAAGCACGGGAATCGAGCCGGGGTGTCTCGCGCACACACAGTGCACGAAAACGAAAATATCGCGTTGCTCGAGACAATAACGAGAAGAAAGATAATACGCGAGAAGCGTCTTCGGGGAGCTCCTCGTCGTTCCAGCTCCTGCCTCTTTTCATTCCGCGTACGCTCTCTCGCGTGACAGTTAATTGTTTCGAACCGGCTGTGCGCGCGAGCGCATGGTAACGAAGCTACTATTGCGAACAACGACGTGTCAGACATGTATTGCGATCACCGAGAGAAATGAAAAGAGACAAGTCATTTCTCCCGAAGGCGGAACACCACGACGGAACTTGCACGAGACTCGCCGCTGATCTAATTCAATTCAAACGTGCAACATGTAGCATCCCGTGTCTCTCCGTGGCACAAAACGCTATTTATATTGTACTTCTCTCGATCCGTAAGAAAATAAAATTAGTTTACCGATCGCGTTTTAACGCGATTCGCTTTGTACGCGAATTTCCATAAAGTAAGTAACGATCGACGAATTTGTAAGAAAATAATTACACCCCGAAAACGGCTGCGAATCTCTTTACGACAATCGACGTGATCAGCTTCATGAAAGAAACACGAGAGAAAAGAGGGTAATCTTGAAGGCCGATAACCAGCGCAGAATTCGTTTTTCCGCACGTGAACGGACGGGGGAAGTTGCGAAAAGATGTTCCCGCGAGGAAACACGTAAACGAAAAAGAAATTTCTCATAGAAGCGGATTCTTGTAGCGGAGGATAATCCCCGGGGGATGATCTTCACCCGGACGATTCTCCTCTCATCCTGCAAAATTAATTTCCAGGATCTCGAACTAGGTAGCGCGGAAGAAGCCATATAACGCAAATCGGCAGTTTGCTCGTCTTGACGCGAACGAGAAGCGATGAGTCTCTTTTGTTTTTTTTTTCTTTTTCTTTCGAACGCAGTCATTCGCGAAATTAGTGAAAGCGGCGTGCTTCTCGTCATTTCCGATGTATGAAAAAGGGGATGAACAACAAGGGGAAGGAAAATTCGTAATTTTTATTCATGCTTTCCGCGCACAACATTTTGCGGCTCTCCGCAAAAGTTCAATTATAATATTAATGTAATGTAATTCTTCTACATATACGCGCACACACGCGCATTTTCGAATAATTTGATTTGACGTGAAACATCCTTCCGCGGATGTGACATAAGAATTGACACTTGCAAACAATTACGGTGTGAATTAGACACTTACCGGAGCAAGTTTTGTGGAAAATGCAACACTAAACGTAATTATATGTACCTAATGAAGTTTTGTTTCTTGAGAGCCGCACGTTTTTTAGCCGTACTTCCTCCAATTAAAATGGAACAAGTAAGTAAGTATGTACGCTCGCGCTTCACAAAAAGCGAATAAGAAGCACACAAACCGAATGTGGAAAGAAGTTAGAAACTCCAGAAGAAACGAGCTTGCAATTATACAAATTACACGTTTACACGAACGCGTGTGTTATATATACATAAATAAAGACGTTTATTGTGAATATATATTCTCTTTCCCCCTTCTCTCTTTCTCTTTCTCTCTCTCTCTCTTTCTCTCTCAATGAAATAATCTTGAATATTTATTCGATTATCTTCCGATTAAAGCTGAAGCATTTCAAGTATGCGCTTTAATTAATCCTGAAAAACGATTTTCAATCAGCAATGATGCACGAAATGAACGTACATATTTCAAAGAGTTTTGTAATACCGTGTGCACGTAAATTTTCTCCCTACTTAAATTACTTTCAAGAATCAATTTTAACAAGTTTTTTGCAATTTTTCGCGCGCGTGAGAATTTTCACTTGGGAAAATACACGCAGGAAAATTTAACTTTATTCCCGTCGCGTTCTAATTTACGCGCGTCTATTTACACTCCCTATGCGTTTCAATGATGCATAAGTCGCAGTCAGAGTTGGCGCGCGCGTGTACATCTTGTTTGCTACCTTCTACGTATTTATTCATATGTGTAAGCTTCTCTTCTGTGTCGGTGAAGACGGCGAAAAGCGATGAGCTTACACAAGGAGCTGCATCGGGAAGAACGTTACCTGGTTGTTGTCTGCTCGCTCGCCGTTGTTGTTACATGCCGCCTCTCTGGTGTCTGGGGTACGGAGTTTTTCCTTCACCACGACAGACTTGGACTTTCTCTTCGATTTTCCATGTCGGAGCTTCACCGCCACGGTTTTCACCTCGAAATTTTCCCGCGGATAGACGCACGCCAGCATCCTCGCGTCAACATGGACCGTGCCAGCAAAACCGCGCGCTTGATTAAGTTTTCGCTTGTACAGAGAGCGATTTAACGTTCGCGTAACAATCAATTTAAGTCGGACGCGTTTTTCCGTCTTCTCTCCTCGTCCCGCGTAAAAACGATGTACAGCGGCGGCTTCAAAAAAAAAGAAAAACAGAAACGACGTCACGTTACACTGCGAGTGTCACGTTCTGCGAATGTAAGTGTATTAATCGTCAAATTGTTTCAAAAAACGACAAACTTTGAGAAATTAGAGGCTTAAAAATAGACGTTATTGTAAAAAAAAACTTATCTTTTTTCGTTATTATTTTATTTATTTATTTTCTTCTTTATTACTTTTTGTTATTTAAACGACGAAAATTATTCGATAATTGTATTTGAATGTGATATTACTTGACTCTGTAATTAAAATTATACTCTTTGTAAATTAACAACCGGTGAATGATCCACCAGCAATGATGCAACATTCAGTAAAAGTAAATAAACAGTATCTGCTGTTCTATATCTTTGTGTTCCATACATACATGTGTAATTCTATACAATTTATCGTGACACGATTAATTCGTTAATTGGAGAGCGAAAATTATTTAAATAACGAGATTTCGCGTTATAATATAATAATGCCGTTATACGGTTACTCTTTGCTGAAAAAGATCATCGATTCGTGAAGATTTTGCACATGCTAATTTATATTATTTTCACAATATTAAGAAATTAATTAATTTTATCTACATTTTATGCAAGATGTGGTTCTTGAAAACGTTCCCAATAGCGATTGTTTATCGGTGAATTGACCAGAGAGCAATGCGAGCGTATAGGTACGTACGTTGCCTTCCATTTATAAGTCACTTGACATGTATCGACACGTAGAGCTTTAAAGATTCAGGACGATAGCGCATCGAATCGCCTGTAATGCACGTAACGCGCATAACTATACGGATAGAAACGGATCTACAAGATAACCCCGCCGTTACCATGACAATAACCTTTAGCGGATTCTCACTTCGATCTATTCTCAACAAAAAGCTCAAAGACAGATCGTCATCGTCAATGGCTTTCCAATTTTCTTCTAAAATTGTTACACAGCTTTTTTAACCTTTATACATGAACAACATATTTACGTAATATATTTGTAAAACTAAGCGTCACGTAAACAAATAATACAATTTTCTTTCTCATTATGGTTAAAGAAAAAATTTTTTAAAAAATTAAAAAAACAATTGAAATTTCTCAAAAACATAAAACTTAAAGGGCATAATGTACGACTTTTTTGTTTCATTACTGACAGAAATATTAATCGTCTGTCTTGATACAGTTTGTTAATGTAAAATTGCAGAAAAATAGAGCATCTGCAACATCTCCCAAACAAGTTCGCAGTTATTTCGGTCGCTTATCACTAAACCTTTCTAGTCCGAGCTCTCTTTCTCTCTGTCTCGAATATTCATTCTCCTTACGATACTCAACGTCAAATAATCCATAACTTCCTCGTTTTCTTCGGTATAAGAGGAGAAGAGTGAGTTGACGCCGTTGCTGTGGAATCGATATGAGACCAGATTTATGGACCTTCCTTCGCGAACGATGCGGGATGAAAAATGAGCCGCGGGGAAAGCGTTCGGCTTGTGCCGCCGGGAGGTCGTCGAAATCTTCTCGATATTACGATTCGGCGTTTCGTCAAGATCAGCATCAGAAAGGACCAAAAAGACGCTGTGCGTCCTTTTACCGCCGCGCGTCTCTCGTCGGTGATCCGATAACTCTTCGTCCTCGCTCGCGAAGTGGGAATATAATATAAGGTACGATAATGGGCTCTATCTTCGGAGCCGAAGAATGAAATTACGTTGACACCATTCGCCGCTGAAAGGCGGAATTTTGTGACAAATGCTGTTAAAATTTTGTCGAAGATTCTCGTTAAAATTTTATCTTCTTAATCGCGTTACTTTTCAATTAAACTGATTGGTCGTGGAGCGCGACGAAAATTTATTAAGTGCCAAAAATTTATTATGTGATTAAAAACTTATGTAAGCTTTCAAGCTTAAAATCTTTTTTTTTTTTGGAAGTTTAATTAATTTTTCGATATATTTTATTGAGTATAAATCGTGCAAGCTTTTAAATATATATTCTGTGATATATTTCCTCGTACATACAGAATATATATGAAAAATTTTGACCAAGCTGAAGTGTGAAGGTAGATTGAGGTAATCTGAACAGAGAAAAATCACTTGCCATTTTGCAAACTTCGCAATATTTATTTAATAATTAATAAATAAATGTAACCCAATAAATGCGCGTGGAAAGCGAGAATTTGATGAATTTTGAAAAAAGGTATATGACTTTTTTGTTCAGATTAACGCAATTTACCTTCACACTTTGGCTTGGTCAAAAGTTTTCAGACACCCTATGTATATACACAAAGATTATATGTATTTTAAATAAATATGCGAAATATATATTTCATGTAAGATATAAGCCAAGTTTCCGTATGCCGTCCAGTCGCCTCTCGCGTCTCAAGAAATTTATTAAGGCAGCCAAATATTCTCTCTCTCTCTTTTTCTTTCTTTCTCTCTCTCCCTCTCTCTCTCTCTCTCTCACTCTCGCTTTAGAATATAAGCGGTATCGTATATAACGTGTGTCTCACAAGACGGTTAAACGAGTTGCCGAGCGTTTACGGCACGACATGGAGCACGACTACTTATATATGTATATGTATATATATATATGTATATATATATGCATATGTGTATATACACATATACACAGAGCAACCAGAAGTGCATATCAATTTATGGAAATAGAGGAGAACACGCCTCGGCGACGCGCGTGGCCACGCTTCTCGTAGGAAACCGACGACGGGGTTTAGCGCGACAGGACACACGTTGATGCGGCTATATAATTTGGCATGCAAAATCCGAATAGACGCGCGAACTAGATTTCGCGGTAATTCGCGAAAACTAGCGGTGTATAAGCCAGGTCAGTTGGACGTCCCGTGGGCGTGGTGAGGCACGACTGTCGAAATTTAGACGCGCGCGAAGTCCGACCCGAATTACTTTAATGAAAGAAAGGAATCGACGATAAATCGCACAAGACGTTTCTTCAAGAGAAAAAGAGAGAGAGAGAGAGAGAGAGAGAGAGAGAAAAAGAGAGCAGCTCGAGCTAGTTTTTCATCCTCGGATCTCGAGATTTTCTTCCTCTTTTCTCTTCGGCGAAATTTTGTCAAAACGTAGTTTCACGTTTCTGTCTCTATCTCTATTTATCTATCTATCTTTCTCTCTACTTCGAAATTTTCTTACGTACCAGGAAACAGACGGGAGTAGCCTCATCGCAAGGGAATCGAGCGAATTCAACAGGTTTTTATCGGGCACGATTATTATGCGAGTTCCGATGCCGTAAATCCGTCAATTCCCAATGCTACGGTGTTACACGGCGACTAGAATTGAAAGTAGAAACTCCGGAAAGAAGTGTATCGGAGTCTGCAGCGGTGCATTTATAAATGTCGCGTGTGTGGATTAAAAAAAAAAAAAAAAGTCAGTATAAAGAATTTAGCACGTGGCTTCTCTCCTAATGAGAACGTTTTTATTCATGGCTTTTAAAGCGCTCCCGCCGCATTCACATTTTTTACGTATTCGTGAGAAGAGTGAGATTATGAAAGATTATGAAAGTTTCTTACTCTACGAAGTGTATGTGTGTTGCACATAAATAAATCGCGTTTATATACTCTGTAAAATATACACATACCATATATACATATATATATACATATATCTTATCCTCTTGAATGTGATGTTAAGATCATTGAGATATAAGATCGAAATTGCATGCAACGCCGTAATGACATCCCAGTGCAAATGCGGCGCAAGTTAGTACGGAACACGAGTACGGGACGTTAGTAGAGCGAATTGACGAACCAGTTGGTAAACTAGTTTTTAATTGAAAATGCAATTCGCGCGCGCGCATACACACACACACACACAAGTATTCGCGACCCGTCGCTACATGTGCACCCTGTCGACTCGGAATGAATTAGACCGGCGCGCGGACGGAGTGGGTCTTTCGAACACGCCACACAGCTGTCGACCGTGGAATTTACGATTCGTCTGTTTCGCACGTAGAAACCGGGGAAGCCACGAGAAGAACGGTAATTTCGTGGCAGCGGGATGCTATACGAGGAGAACGTTCCCGACCGAGCGGAAAGAACTAAACAGGAAAATCAGATTCAACGCGATCGCGCGTGTGATTATCGTCACCTCGGTGACTTTCTTCTCCCGAGAAACAGAAAACAAAAACTAAACTCTCGGCAATCCACAATTTTGATGAAAATACGTGGACGATGTTCTCTAACACCCATGAAGGAGAGAGTAAAAATCGCACGAATCGTGAAAAAAAATATATAATTGTATTTGAAGTAATTTCTAATTGTTGTACAATTTCATATGTGACAATTTAGGTTGTCTATAAACATATCGATTTGCGCGACATATTCTGACTATTTTTTTCAGGGAAATAGTTTTGAGAACAATGATCCATCTTTTCATATCACCACGCGCGCATAAGACACTTTACAAACAAAATCAATTTGAAAACAATAAGAATATAAAACCATATGACCCTTAAGTCCAAGGTGCTATTGGAGAGAAAAAAAATTAATAGTTTACATGTGATTATCAATTTGAAAAAAAAAAAAAAAAAACATGAGTCTAGAATGTGCGTGCGAAGCTGCTGTTTTTTCACGTTCAAAGAGCTTTGAAATAAAATTCACTTAAAAGTGTTGCAATTGCATTAATAATTGCAATTTATGTCGAAACATCAAAAGAGTTATTTCGCGTATGCATAATTAAAAGTTGAAAGTTCCAACTCATGTTGAGCGTTTCATCGTTTTTGTTTTATGTTTATATTGTTATACTATTGTATTCTTCCACTTGTAACTAAATTTTCTCATTTATATTGTATATTATGTCTTTACTATTTCATCAATTTTGATGATTTTATTGTCCTTTAATTAATTTTGCCGAGGTGTGCAGCAGAAAGAGGTCAAAGCCAACTTTTTGAAATTTCAAACGCATATACATACACACACACACATACACACATCTATCTCTAATACAGTTGGAGATTTTTCTCTTTCAGTGAGGAAATAAAGTTTTCGCGTGCGGAGTGCAGTCAATTTTGCATCGTGTAAAATCGTCGAGTGCGATTCCTCCGCAGAGATGGCACGCTCCCGCCGGGAGACAAACTTGCCTCATCTCTATTTCCTGGTTTATCAAAGTTGTACGTATCGCGATTCAAAGATGTACTACCGCTCTTCGGATGGACGAAATCCGGAAATATAATCTTCCGAACGCGGTTGTGCGTTACAGTTTCGTTTCCGCGGATGTCATTTCGGTTTCGAATTCCGGCGTCGCATGACAGGGAGAATACGCGACAGGAGTACACAATTTTGAGAGCTAAATTCAATAAACGAAGTTTCGAGAGAATTTCCGGTTCTCGTGTCGTCGAAATTTGATTTCTCTTTTCTTCGTCCTTTCTGTAAAGAAAATTTTAGTCGCTCGCATCTCTCAATTAAGAAATATATTATACACTGAAGATTTCTAATTATTAAAAAAAAAAAAATAAGTATATCAGACTTGAGCTTTCAATAAATACGTTTATGTATAAATACAGTACTTTAATTTTCTAGCCGAGAAAAATTTAATTCTGTATTTACAGAAATGTCGCTCAAAAGAGAAGATCTTAATTGCTTCAAGTAGTGTAATAACAGTCTATCCGCAATAGAGATACTCGTATGAATTTAATAAATACAAGTACATAATGAGTAATTAAAGATTCGCTTTACACAGAATCATAACTCACTCCTCTTCCTCTCGCTATCTCCCTCTCTTCATCGAACTTGATAAAGTTATTTTGATGATACAATCCCAAGTTCTACATCAAGCTCGGAAGAGCTGTCTACCGCATGATAATGTAATTCGAACTAGTGTAAACCAGAGTTGAGCACCTACGCGAGACAGTAATTTACATCTATGTGTAGATAATGCATATAAAATGTGTCTCCTCTCTCCTCTCCATACTCGCATAATTTATCTGAACAACATCTGCAATGGAAAGATAGCGATTTAGTGAAATTTCTTTAAAGCATCGAGAAAAGTAATTTTAAAGTCGAGCAAATTAAATTTTGATTAAAATTTTGAAAAAAAAAAAAAAGAATTTTACGTTGGATCTACGTATAAATAAAAAACTTAATATAAAAAATATACTAAATAAATATATAAATATATTCAATAAATGTAAGTCTAAACTTTATTTTTTCTCTCAAATCCTTAAAACGTCCGCATTGTTAACACTCAATCTTTCAATTTTCTTCTTTCATGCGATTTGAAATTAATATTTCGCATATTTCAGAATACAATATACAGAGCAAACTGCAACGATGCGCTTTCGCAGTTTTTTCATGGCAATTTTATAACATTTCAAAACCTAACAAGATTGTTATCTTTTTTATTTGTCCCAATGCTATGGGTTTTGTTTTTTCAAGGTTTTAGAATCGTCACAAAAAAAAAACAAAAAGTAAATCAGACTAACTGATGTTTGAAAATTGAATCAATTTATAGCAAAAGGGATAAACTGTGTCATGCATTTATGAGTTTTTCTCTGAAATAAAAGCTTAATCAGATAGTTGTTTGAATTATAGTTTGTATCATCAAAAATTAAACATTATTTAAAACAAGACCCTGAAGAAACAAATTTTAAAGAATTTTCAGTGAATTTTACTCTAGTTGCGATTGTTTCAACCGCAACTCTGGTGTTTTTCGCAAGGGAACTGTGCTTCGTTACTCACTCAGTAATATGTACGCTCATACGAAGTCCGCACAAAGTCGACGAACTTGAAATTCTAAAAATAAATCCATTTCTAAAAGTAACGCGACGTGTACGTAAAGTTGCGAGGGCGATTCGCGCGATTTCGCGTTTCCCCCGGCTCGGGCGCCGGAAAATCAGAAGAAGGTTGTCTCGAACATATCAGCAGACCAATGAATCACGTTCCCATTGATATGGAGATTTTTATCGACAGCCATTCGGTCAAACACGCGAGGCAGTAAAGCGTCTCGATTATCGCAACCGCGTCGATCGACAATAAATCCACGTACTCGTGACATACACTCGTCACGCCGGCTACCTATCGACCGCGAGACAAAAACGGAAAGACACAATGTGACTCATTTCCCGTGGATATGTTTCAAATAACCGCTGGAATATAAAAAATCTGCTTCGTCAGAAGAAAAGAAAAGAAAAAAATAAAAAGAGAAATGTCAAAGAGCGCGAGACGGACGCGCGCGAAAATCGCGAAATTGGAAATCAGTCGCTTCTGCTTTCTCGAAGCATTGGTGCCTCCGCGCCAAGTGCAATCGGTGTCAACGCGAACTGTCAATTTTTACGACGTAGAACGAAGGGATGCAATAGAGAAGAGAAAACGTCAGCGAACACTCGGCGCCGCGCTCGTCGACGAACTGCGTGGCCGAGGTGGCCGCGTTGAGCCGCGTTTGCGTCGCGCATCGCGCAGCGCGCACCACCCTTGTGCTGTTTAACAGCCGGCTTTCTACATCCACCGTTCTGGCACTGCATCGCAAGTGCAGTCGGAAACAGAGAGACAGAGCGTATTTTAAACAAAATTAGTTTTTTCGTATTTCATTTTAAATTATCCAGTTAATTCCTCAAGTACACGGTACAAGAACAAAATCCAGAAATATGAAATCGTCGAGGCCGGATTAAATCTACACAGCGAGCATCTCGCGTCAAATATGTAATATCCTTGGCAATGTAATATCCTTGCAAAAAAATATGTCACTGAAATATGAGAAAAAACAATCTACAAAAAATATGAAAATATAACGAGCTATGTTTTTTCTCTAAGTTAGTAAATTTGAGTTCAGCTATTTTTTTATATTGTTATTCGACTCATATATTTTTTTCATACATATATTCGTACTTCATTATTGTTTTGTGACTATATTTTATCATCGTATTCACGTTGCTATAGTTACCGTGAAATTCTCGTCATTATTACAATATCCACCTTCTCGTTCGTCCTCGCTACCTCAATTTCCTTAAACGTCCGAAATTCTCTAGGTAAACGTCGTATCTCTCTCGGGGATAAACTTCTTTTTTCCTTTTGTGAAAAAGATGCGTACTTCTGATATTACCGAGTCCGAACTTACGGGAAGAAAGTTTCGAACGTCTCGCGCATTATCTTTTTTTTTTTTTTTTTTTCATAAGTACTTGGTATAATTTTGGATTGCACCAGGAAATTACCGCAAACGCGTGAATTTACATTTATCACTTGAAAGCACATGAGAACCTTCTTCCTGTTCAGCTCCGTAATCATAATTTTCACGGAATTCGTGCAAATATTTTTATCGCATCTGTGGAAAAATTGTGCGCTCATCTCTAGGATGTTCATTATGGATAACGAACGAAATTATTAAAATATCGATGTTGCGTAAAATTGAAGTAATTTAGATTCAAATGCATCGCTTCCATTATACATATCACTTCTGCGTTTCTCTCGTCTTTTAAAAATAAATTGGAAAAGAAATTGAATAAATTAATGCTTGAAAAAAATTCGACAAACTTATAAAACAGATAAAATGGAGGAAAAACAAAATAAGAAAACGATGCATTAATACAGAAGACACTTGACGATGGCGCGACAAAAAAATGATACCAGCGTAATGACTGTTAAAAAAAAAAACACGAATATAATCGACTAAAATGTAAGCTGCTTTCGGATAATATAATCAGAGCGAATATATTGAGAAATTTCTCTCGCGGAAAATACATTTATATAGACGAGCGAGAAGCATTTCTCGTTTCCGCGCACGTGTTAATTGCATATCTTTGTTATTCTCCAAACGCGCGTACGACACGATGTTTTTGCTCATGCGAAAGATGGTAGCGTAATATTCACGTGCGCGCAAGACACACATGGCTTACGCTCGAACAAGCGATGCGGATTAATTATCTATAGCAACGACAACACAACCTTTCTCACTCAAAGTAATTTTCAATTAAACAACTTTTCAATTAATAAAAAAATAATATTTTTTGCGTCGTATTTTTTTCGCAAGACAGATTATTATAAATTTATAATTAATACAGAGACCGATCATTATAATGTTACATAGAATGCTCTCGGTACTTTGCTTTATGTACGATACTTAAAAAATGATTAACCCTTTGACTTTAGTTACGTGTCTTTAAAAAAAGACCTAAGTAAGATCACGTGATAGGGAGAAGAGAAAAAACAACGCGTGACTTTAAAAACGTGATTAAAGCAAGATCATGTGACAGAAAGAAGAGGAACAACAACACGTGACTAGAATCACGAGAGTAAAGTCACGTGACTTTACTTTTGTCACGTGTGTCTTTAATATTGCATACACGATATCGACGGTATAAAAAAAAATAGATTATGCGTGTAAATCTACGCATATATACATTTTAATATTACAATAGTTGTGTTTAAGGCTCTTATAGAACGCATTTACAGAATACCGTACTTAAAACAAAAATCAAAATCAAAATCAAAATATTTTAGCGTGCGAGAGTGTTTTTGCATAAATTTCCTAGATTTTTTATTCAATATGATTGAATCAAAGAGAAGCGCTTGAAATGTTTTGATATTTTTTTGCGCAAAATGTTTTTTACTTCTAACAGCAGAATAAAATATGAGATATTAATAAATAATATAAATATTTATATATTAAATATTGATGAATAATACGGATATTTATATACCACACATGCATCTCAGTTGTTATGCAATAAACAGCCACCCACTATTCAGTGAGTGAAATTTTATCCTGCAATTTGAACGGGTGGTGATCCGGAAGAACGGTTGCGCGGGTAAAAGCGCAGGAGCATTTGTCTCGGGAGTCCGTTAATTATGCGCTCTATAGTTTCTCGCGGCAATTGGAGAGCTGCCGCGCGCGGCGAGTGTTGCAGGCGACAGGAAAGTTCAGACGAAGAGTCGGGACAGAGGCCAAGAACTTCCGAGTCCTCTCCAATTACGCGGGTCCAGCTAGTAAAGTAGCTTGGTAAACGCCCGGAGGCCAAGCATAAGAACCCCAGTTAAGAAACGTTTTAAATTCTGATTGTCGCATGAAAGAGTCATGAGATTCGGGGCGTAAATAATTTCTAATTATTCTAATACCGCGTGTATCTATGTGTATAAAAAAAGTGTGAGAAAAAAAAACAAAGCGGTTGTAATTGGCGACAATATATACGTATTTAGGTGTAACATATACGTAAATAGTTTAATTAAAAGAAATGAGATAACCGCGAAGTGCTAATGTAATGATCTCCTTTTGTTATCGGTTAAAATTACATTAAACGCGTGTTACCGTGTTTATTTAGAATTATATCTTTTTTGGTCTTATTGAACGATACCACAAGAATCTCTCTGCATTGTTCAGCAGAATTTTCGCGCTTGAATGTACGATAATAATATGATCAACGATCGGCCGATAAATCACAATTACGGAGGTAAAGAGCTCAGGTCTATCTCATCAACGTCGAAATGATTTATCGATTACGTTATCGTCCCTTTTCTCCGGAGTGATCCGCGCGAAAGCGCAACTTCTGCATACGGGAAAACCTATAATCTTGTTTTTCGAATTTATATCCGACATTTGCACGCGCGCGCGTATATGCTCTTCCCAGGATATAGTAATGAGCGCGCTTTTTGCACCTGAATGAAACCGCAAGGACGCGGTAAAATCGAAATATCGTTGTGCCGGATTACGTTTTCCGCCTGCGGTTGCCGTATTTCAACCACGAACCGCTTGCTCTCTCTCTCTCTCTCCTCTCTCTCTCTCGTCCTATCGGAAAACTCCAGCCAAGTGTATGTACATCGTGCGCGAAAATTGAAAATGCGCTGCTTGACATAAGAGATTTGCGCATACATATATATATTACGAGAAAGATTAATTCATCGCGGTAATGAAACTTTCAGTCAAGTTTTATCTGCTATTTTATGAGCATATTTTATTTAAAGGACTTGAAAAGCGCGCGCGCGCGCAAATGCACAGATGACAAAAACGCACCGGGAGAGAAATGCTCGAACTAAATAGTGTCTCGAGTTTTCGGCTCTGTGCAAAGTTATTAGCATAACAAATTATGCGAGACAGTTCTTCCATTGTACGCTTCGTGAGGCACACAAAAGCGCATAAGTGCTCAAAAAAAAAAAAAACGTTATAATTTCATTTTCACGCCCGAAAATGAGACAAAAATATAATTAAAAATATATTTTTGTACATGTAAAAACGTGTTACAAAGGAAATATTCTAGTTTTCATAATAAAATCTAATTTTCTATACAATCAAAAAGTTATAAAACAAAATCCCCCAGGACGTCAAGAGGCACGATAGTGCTTCGCGCCAAGTTAACGCGCAAGGTCAGTGACCCCGCCGCGCTCACGCGACCGAGGTCAGTAACCCCGCCGCGGTCGCGCGACCGAGGTCAGTGACCCCGCCGCGTTCACGTGACCGAGTAACCTTACCGTAGCATATATGAGGTAAAAAATTAATAAATTAAAACTTAATAAACTATATACTTTAATTTTATAAAGTAAAAAATTAAAAATTAATACATTACAAATTGATGTAATATTACGAAAACTTCTTTTTTTATAAAACTTGTTTTACAAAATTAATAATACTACAAAATATAAAATGTTTTAACTTGAAAAACGTATCTTTCCAAAAAAAGGCAAGAAAAGGTGTATTTGACGTGTAGTTAACGCCTGTTCTTACCTTTTTTGAAAAAAGGTTTCCGAGTTTGTATCACACGTGCGTGACAATTATTTGCAAAATCTCGTTTATTCGCGTGCGTCTCGTCGACACGCGATTCACAAAGAGACCTCATTATTATTTTTTTCTCGGTGTGCGCGATAGAACGGAATTCTTCGTCTCCGTCTCCGAGACTTACTTAATCGAAATCAGTGCGTAACAAGCCGGTCATTCAGATCGGGACAACTCGACGCGGCGAGAGTGTCGGCAAACGAGCCTTTTCCTGCGGCCTGGTCGACGAACGGCGTGATACAAAACAGGACCTATCCGACCATACAGATCCGTGCGACTCGAGAAAGAGTGTGGGGTGAGTGAGTGCGGGAATTTATCTCGACTTGGGTTTAAATCTCTCTTGAAGCTGCTCGGCGCGCACAAAAATACACACAGATACAAATGATGTGGCGCGTACATCGACATAAATATTTAACGACAGATTGTTGAGTGTTGATTAATGCGATCGATTAATTTGACGTCGCATTCTCGACTCTCGTACGTGACTACAACGATTGAACATCGATCGATTTTAAGAATCGACACAATCGTCAGATATTTCCAGATAATATGAAAAATAATTTCGAGCGAACATTGTGAGAATGGAATTTCAATTTAGTTTCAATCTAACTTTATTTCGCTGT